GAGTGAAACAAGAGTATGTCACATTCTTTGTCCAGTGGAATGCGGAGATCATTTGAAAGACAACGGTAGAACCCGCCCCACAACCGAGAGCCGTCAATGACTACATTTACATGCAGCCAATATCCAGATTATGATCGGGTTAAGGTCGGTATTCGGGTTTCTGAGTTGATCAGAATAACCCGTTTACAAGCATAAATAGAAAGAGTTACCCCTAACTTGCATAACCCGATTTAAATGCGGACGTTGGGGTAGCGTCAGGACGTATGGACTACGTCCAGACGCAATATGCGTCATTTCCGGTTCTTCTTGTTCCGGTATCCGTGAAAACAACGTGTTTCCCAGTTCGGAAGAGATGGCGACCGCGTTTGTTTGCGCTTTAGTTTCCTCGTCATTCCAAAAGTGTGGTGCTGTGCCGCGACTCGCCATGTTGCTCCCAACTTGTTGTTTACTTCTGGTGTTCTGGCGCATACAAGACGTCTCGCTACTCAAAAGACCAAGATTCCTTGCGAACAGAGCATGCGCAGAACACACGCTTTGATGGGGATATCCCGATATGCGTTTTACACGACCAAACATTCGGGTTAGAAAAGGTTACCCCAGGTATAGTGACCAGGTTTTTAAAAACCCAGTTATGAACATATCCGGGTTTTTGGCGGTGTTTACATGGACCTGCGGAACCGGGTAATTGTGAATATTCGGATTTTAAAAGGGTTACTGGCTGCATGTAAACGCACTCAGTGGAGCGTTGCCAGACTAAATAATACATTTATTTAGTCTGGCTTGCCAGGCTAGCATGTTCATGCTAAATGTGAAAACTTTCTTCAAACTGCCATTGCTGGCATTATCCACAGAAAGGAACTGGATGGGAAACAATAGTCGTGGTTCTATTGTCAAAAAGAGCGTTAGTATTCATGGCCACGCCCATCTTGTCTTGCAACCATTGGATGTAGAGGGCTAATGGTTATTTTTTTCCCTCTTCTATCTGTCCTTCTAGTAGAAGCTAACCATTAGTAACCCTAATATAAAGGCAGAGATAGCGGCACATTGCTGTTAGCCAGTCAGAAGTGACATTTGCATATCATGAATATTAATCAGTAAAACTCAGAGTACTGTTGTTTTCTGCTGACCTATTCCTCTGACAAAAGTCCATCCCAGAAAAGAAACACGAGAGCTTTTTTTCCACAAGGCGTACATTCATCCTTGACCACAGTAGATTTATTTTTTTTAAAAAGACCTCTAAAACAATACAATGAAAGTCACAGAAATAATCCTTTGGTGTGCTTCTACTTTTGTAGTCAGCCCAATCCAAGATGTCTGCCACAGCCCAAACTCCACAAACACTAACACGGTGTCGTACTGTGTTGGTCACCATGAAGCCCTGCCTTCACGGTTAGGTTAATAGGACCTCTTCCTTCTTTATGGTTAGAACTCTTAAACCATGTTGTCCTTCCTTGACAAACTGTTTTGTCTGATTCACCATGGAGGTTGCTGTCTGCTCATAGAAAACCCTCTCCTATACAATGAGTACGTTTACATGCAGCCAATATCCGGGTTATGATCGGGTTAAGGTCGGTATTTGGGTTTCTGAGTTGATCAGAATAACCCGTTTACAAGCATAAATAGAAAGAGTTACCTCTAACTTGCATAACCCGATTTAAATGCGGACTAGTGTCAGGACGTATGGACTACGTCCAGACGCAATATTTCCAGTTCTTCTTGTTCCGGTATCCGTGAAAACAACATGTTTCCCAGTTCGGAAGAGATAGCAACCGCGTTTGTTTGCGCTTTAGTTTCTTCGTCACTCCAAAAGTGTGGTGCTGTGCCGCGACTCGCCATTTTGCTCCCAACTTGTTGTTTATTTCCGGTGTTCTGGCGCATACAAGACGTCTCGCTACTCAAAAGACCAAGATTCCTTGCGAACAGAGCATGCGCAGAACACACGCTTTGATGGGGATATGCGTTTACACGACCAAACATTCGGGTTAGAAAAGGGTTACCCCAGGTGTAGTAACCGGGTTTTAAAAAACCCAGTTATGAGCATATCCGGGTTTTTAGCAGTGTTTACATGGACCTGCGGAACCGGGTTATTGTGAATATTCGAGTTTTAAAAGGGTTACTGGCTGCATGTAAATGCACTGATTAATGGAGGAATCCACGGAAAGGGTAGTTTTCTGTGTGTCAAGGGGCTTTTCAAAGCAGGAATAGCTGAGCTACTATTAAACATTTAGGAGCAGCCTGGGCAGACGCTGTCTAAGCAGGATTCATTTATTGTCTGGTGCAGGAATACTTTAGTTGGCTGGTGACATTTTCAGAATATTCCAGTGTAATTATTACTTGCACTTTGTTTGGAAAATAAATTTGTGCCTCAAAAAAACCAGATTTTGCTCTAAGATCTGTTTGTTTTGTGAAACTGTGTTAAAGTAAAATATAAGAAATGATTGAATATTTGGTGGAAGCTGGAGGATTAGTGTTTAAACAAGCTATGTGTAAACATTGTGTGTGTTTTTACATCGGATCAGGTCTTTGTTTGGGAGGAGATGATGGGTAAAATGTGAGATAATAGAGCATCAGTGCTGCTAGACAAGCTGGAGGTCTGACTCGCCTCTTCTCAGAAGGATGAGGTCATGCCTCTCTCTCTGCATCACTCATTTAGGGGTTTGATGGATCACAATGCTTATGATGCCACTAATATGAGACTGTCAGGATTTACTCAGACATGAGGTGACCTGCTCCTAACAAGAGATTTATCAGGACTGTGTTGATGAAGGTTTTAACTCAAGTAGACAAAAACCTATTTGCTTTTCTTATTCTTTTCCCTCTTCTGTCTGTCCTCTGTTTCAATTCTCACCCTGCGCTCTTTTTTTTATCTCAAGCCATCTTAGCTGTGGGCTGTTTGTCACCATGGAAACCAGCTACTTTGTTCTCCTTGTGTTTTCATCAATACCTCTCCCCTTTCTTTGTTTTCCTTTCCCCCCTCGCCCTCATCGAAGAGTTTGCCTGTTGAAAACTGCATGTTGATAAATGTTTTATCTGTCTGGCACATCCAGAATTAACAATAGGCCGTGGGAGGCGTTGGCTCTCTATGTTGTTTTTTATGACCATACACAGCATTTAGCTGTGAGTGGGTGCAACTTATTATTAGCATGGCTTTTGTTTGCTTCCAACATGGATGTGTACTTCTATTGTTTATGTATGTAGCAAACATTTGCGGAAGAGCACCACTTATTCTGCATGGAGCTGGTCTTATTTCATGATGCTTTGATCTTTGTTCTCATGAGTGGAAGTTAAAATGGTTAAGTTACTTCATGTATTTAATATTTTGGCTCTCCTTTTAAACTGTTTTATAGACTAGTTAGCTGTCGGAGGAGCAGATAATCTCCTGCTCACCTTGAGCTGTAACGTGTTACGAGGATTCAGGTGCTCAGAGAAAGAGGGGGGGAGGGGCTTACTGCTCAGCACTGACCGTGAGGGCACAGGGGGCACAGATTGAGCCGACAGATTGTAACCCCCACCCCCTTATTGGCTCCTCACAGCACTGTCTGCCCAATGGCTCGTCTGGCATCTTCTTAGCGTTCAGGAACACAGGAGCAAGTTTCGGGTAAAATTAGGTAGAAAATAACTCTTTGTTTTGTTTTCAGGGAATTTTCACTTGTGTCTTGGGACATGAAGGGAACTATTGTTACATTTTGCCCAACAACATAACCAGTATGTTTTTTATTATTCCAGACTATTTTCAGATTACTGCTCCTGGTCATGTTTTCTATTTTCAAGTTTTAGTGACGCTACACTTAGCATGTCCACTTTGATAAATGATTAGGTTGTAAACATAGCAGCTTTCATTTCTTTCCCAAAGCCAGAAAACATAATTTTCAATTCAGTTCACAACATTTGTGCCTTATATTCTGTTTCTAAAGGTTGGCTTGTGTCACCAGACATGTTCATATTCTATTTTTAACTGATAATAAGCTAAAGCCTTCAAAAGCACACATGACAAAATAGTTGTTTTAGATCTAATGATTTCCTAAAGTTTAGGTATTCATCGTTTAGTAACTGTGGTGTGGGATTGTGCCATTCAGGTACAAATAAAATTTAGTTACAATGTAAAAGTATTGTTCTTTTTTATCTACAACTAATCAACTTTCCTGCACCTTCATGATAAACTAATGAGATGGGAAATAAAAGAAAAGCCTGAAATGTGATGAGAACCTCATTAATAACTGTTGGTAAACTGAACTAGAGCCAATTCTGCTCTTATAAACTGTGTGTGTGTGTGTGTGTGTGTGTGTGTGTGTGTGTGTGTGTGTGTGTGTGTGTGTGTGTGTGTGTGTGTGTGTGTGTGTGTGTGTGTGTGTGTGTTGTCAGTGGAAGCTCAGGAGACAAAAAAAATGAAGAGTGAAGGCAGCCCCTGTCCTGGCTTCCAGCTCTGCCTGTCTGGTCCATTGTCTCGGTTATCTGCTGTCAGTCTCCACATTTTTGAGATAGTAGGGCGCTTACTCACAGCTGCCACCTACGTTCTTGCGTTCTGAGGAGCCTGGGTGTCTTTGAAGGGCTGCTTGTGTTTGTCTGTGAACTTGAGCCAGAAAAAGAGATGCACTAGTATCAGTAGCCAGAGCATTACGGGTCATGCCTGCGGGTCTCCGTGTCCACACCACGGGGCGTTGTCCACTATTCCTATTATTCGCCCACAGCAACAGGAGCTCATTATGGAAGCTAGACAGATGTGTTCTCAATTTGTGGTGAAAAAGATTCTGTGTTTTTTTAAAGAGCAGGAAACTCTATTTTTACTGTTCTAGACAGGTTGTACAGTGTCTCACTGAATTTATGCAAGCAAAGCATTTGTATTAAGTGGTGATGACAGAAGAATGTTAATTTACATTTCCTAATTATCTGCCCTTTGTTTTAGAGATTTCAGTGTGTGTGTGTGTGTGTGTGGTGGCAGTAACCACCATCTCGTCTGCTGATCAGGAGAACTAATTACAGCTCCTTTTTGTTTCTTTCAGAAATCGAGCAATAGCCGATTATCTACGATCGAATGGATATGAAGAGGCATATTCCACTTTCAAGAAGGAGGCGGAGTTAGATAATGTGAGTAGATTAAGGACAGACACACACACGTCCGCTTAGCCAATCACACCATTTTATTCCAACAGTACGTCTTGATTCCCAATGTATTTTCTTCGTGGTTGTTGGGTTTTGAAGCGTGACCTAGCGCACCTGCACCCAATTAGGGCGGTGTTTCTGAGTGGAGGGGTATGCTGCATGGTTTCACTCAGAGGAGCTTTTATCCACCTGAAATGGTTGTCGTTTCATTATTGTACCATTGTGGTGACTTTATTAAATATAACAGCTTAAAAAGCAGATCCAAGTACATTCTGTCTTATTTATAATGAAATGCTTTGTCATTTATCTATATTTAATTGTACATAACATAGGATTTATGGTATAAATCATATGTATTTTGTGCAACATAATGGGAAATGCAGCCTAAATTGAAATAAAACATTTCAGTTTCTTTGAGAAAAAAGCTTTTCAGAAGCTCCACTTCTCATTTTTACTGACATTTCAACCTCTTTTCATCATAGCCTCCTCTTCAGCGCTCACTCCCTCTTTAACCCCGCCTTTTCCCTTGTCTTCCTGCGACACCCTACTGCTGTCTTCATCCGCTCCTCTCCCAGTCGTCCTCCATGTGGCGGCTCTTTGGCAACAGACTGAATAATAGATGAAAGGCACCGAGGGATCGGTGTGCTTGGTTTTAGCTCACACACGCCTTGTTAAAACCACACCAAATAACCAGAAGGATTTTGGCTGCGTTTTTCCTTGGGCTTCATCGTTATTCAGCCATTATCTTCATTTGTGTTTGTTAGATGTGTTTGGATTCAGTCAGAGGAAATTAAACCCTCTTCACCGTGACCCTTTAGGGCTAATTGAGCTGTGGTTTTAGGTTAATGCATTTGCAGACAAGTAGAAATAATTAATAATAGTATTTTCTACAAAAGAAAAGCATATACCTGCATGCACACACACACACACACACACACACACACACACACACACACACACACACACACACACACACACACACACACACACACACACACACACACACACACACACACACACACACACACACACACACACGTATGTACATTAATCATTGCCAAAAGGCTGGCAGACTGCACAAAATCTGGTACGTGTGCTTCTGTGTGCATCTTTTTGTGTGTTGGCGACTAGGCAGATGGTAGATTAGACAGCTGAAGACTTGTCCAAACTGAGTTTCCTGCTGTCTTTCAGTAGCTTTTTTATAAATTTGTCAGAGCAGTGGCGTTTTATCATTAGGAAGTGTGACATCTAGGCTTTGGGATTGGCTGAAAGTGTCCACACCTCGAGGATATCTGCTTCGTTTCCAGCTGAGGTCGAGGGTGTAGCCGTGAAATGGGAGCACAATGCTAATTTTCCCCCTCACTGACACCAGTAGCTGTCTGTCAATGTGGGTTTTTGATGCTTAGTCAGCGGTGCCCTGAAGGCACCACAAGATATGTTGAATTGCTAATAGGATATGGCTAAAAAAGTTAATTTATTACAGCAACAGGAGCTCACGAAATATAAGATAATGGAGCAAAATTAGCAAGTTTGAAGTTTAATAGACTGTAAGGAACAAATTACTTAATAGTGAAAGTAAAACCTGGCAGTAAGAAGGCGGCTGTTTGTGCTATCTGTTATGTAAAATGTAGTGGCTAGCTTGTGGGATTAGCCCTGCAGGAAGAATCAGCCTGGAGTCTGCCAGGAATGCCACAAGTTGACTTCCACCGCTGCTCCGTCTGTACGGGTGTGTGGCAGTAAGCCGCCTAAGCCTTTCTGCTACAGATTAGCTTGTTTGAGAAGGATTAGGACTAGGATGTGTGTGTAGTCTGCATGTGTTGAGGGTGTGTGTGTGTTGTACAGTAGACTGGTAGTGTCTGGCAGCCGCCCTTGGCCTGTGCGGGGTGTGTAAATAATTTGGTTCTTACTGTAGCTGCAGACCCCAGCCGGCCCCCACCAGTCACGCTGAGCCTGTAACTTTGATTGGCTTCTCTTTGTCTGATATCCTCTCGTTTCTCCACAGAACGAAGAACTGGATAAGAAATATGCCGGTCTGTTGGAAAAAAAATGGACCTCAGTCATCAGATTACAGAAGAAGGTATGTGGGGGTTTTTTCTTTCTTTTTTTAAAGAATGCTTGTGGGATTACAGTTTTGGGAATAGTTCATGAGAGACTTCATAAAAGATAAACATCTATTTTGTCCCAGATTCATCTGTATTTATGTCAACTCTGGACAGGTGATGGAGCTTGAATCTAAACTAAATGAAGCTAAAGAGGAAATCACCCTGGGGGGGCCGGTAAGTCAAAAGCGTGACCCCAAAGAGTGGATCCCACGCCCACCAGAGAGGTACGCGCTGAGTGGCCACCGCAGCCCGGTGACCCGGGTCATCTTCCACCCAGTCTTCAGCGTCATGGTGTCAGCTTCTGAGGATGCAACGATAAAGGTCAGTCAGACCTGGACGTGTGTTTTTCTCTACTGTCTGAAGTGTGACATCACAACTGAAACTATTTTAGAAGTAAAATCTATAGCTCGTTTACACTTCCAGATGTTGTGTTTTAGAGCTGGATTTTAAGTCAGGTGTGTGATCACTTTAATGAACAGGTGTGTTTAATCAGTCAGATTCCATTTCACACATTTTTATAAAACTCATTACTCAGAATCACATGCACACACACACACACACACACACCACCTGCACAGCTGTTGCTCTGTATGGGTAATTATTTTTATTTATGATGTTTACAATGAAGTTCGTATTCATGCTGGTGGGAATTCTGGCATATAATCTTAACACACACACAGTGTCACAGGAGCTTTCTTTAATTTAACTTCACAAAGCTTTCAGTTCCTCTTGGTTTCCTTTTCCCCTTCCTCTTGACTTCCTCCTCTTGGTGGATCTGGATGTCCTGGATCACACAAACATGCACGCAGCTCTAGGCTCCACATATAAACTCCACGGTCTGCCTCTGGGCCGTCTCTGCTGCCGCATTTCTCCTCTGCTCCGCTGCACCGAGCCAATACTCAGCTGGGCTGTTAGCTGTGTATCTTTTATTCATAAGACAATAATAGACACTTGTACATTTCCTACTTGTCTACACCAACACAGCAGGGATCCCCCCCCCCCCCCCTTTTATTGGCATATCCCTCATTTTCAGCCCAACCTCCCTGCATTCTGCGTCATTTATCTTCTACTTAAAGCATCAACTGTCCCACCATGACAGGCGTCTATCAGCTATCGTCCCTCAGAAGACACCAGGCCTCGACTCAGACCTGCTTTCTTAGCCTGTCCTCACAGCGGCCTGGGCTGACTCCATCCATGTCCTACTTTTCTCTTTAACAGCTCTATTAAATTTTTAAACAAAGACCAGCCCCTGAGCTATTTACAGAGAAATGGACTGAAGAGCTGCTTTAGTGAGGATCATTCTTTCGCTTTTATCTGGTAGTAAACACACTTAAGAATATGTGGCTTAGGGGCTCGACACACGGGAGACGACAATCGACCGCGATCAGCGAAATTTGTCGCTTTTAATACCTGACACGCGGGAGGCGATCCGCGGAAGCATCCAGCAGCAAAAGCCGTTTACGCATTCTGTTCCACCATGGCGAAATCGAAACTTCCGTTGTTTTGTTTGGCTGTGTCAGGTTGGAGGGAATTAAGGTTATTTAAGCGGTTCAAAGTTAGAAAAGTGGTAGATATGATGTTTCACAAGGTGCTGCTAGAGCAGGGGTCGGCAATCTGCGGCTCTGGAGCCGCATGCGGCTCTTTCATCCATCTGATGCGGCTCCCTAGACTCTGCTTGTAAACTAATTAAGGAATATTTAATTACAATGTATTTTATTCATGTTTTCATCTGTAGCCAATTCTAAATTTAAAAATTGTCTGCGTAAACGTGAACAGGTCACCTGCTTGTGCGTAATCAAATGTCTCTATAGGAGCTTTCTGAGCTGAAGAGGAGATTCTGGACTGTTCCTCAGACAGGCTCATGGATGCGTCGCAGTGTTGGAGACAGGAACAAGCGCTATTCAGCCAAAGATTCATAATCAGGGAACATTTTTTAAGTGACAAGTCTCTGAGAGACCGGGTTTAGAAAACGCAGAATCTTCCTACACGGTTCTGGTTCTGTGATGCGCTCCAAGCCCCCGATCTGTCTTCAGCTCGCTGTCCACGTTACGCGTGCGCTGACAGTGAGCTGCGCTGAGCTCAGTGTCCATCTCAGATGTCCTGATGGGAATCTTTTCCTGATTGATGTAGCTACCTCCACGATGTGCGTTAAAATGTCAGCGCATCTGCAGGCTTGAGATTTCTCCGTCAAAATAAATACAGGAAACATCGGGTCAGTGCGAACCCTGCCATTTAACCGTTTTACCTTCTAGTGAAGATTGTTGCAAACAGAAACATTAAACCTGATGAACACCAGAGCCACGCACACTGCACCGTTATCTCCGTCAGTGTAAACGAGGAAAAAAAACTAATTACCTTTTCTTACCTTTTCAACAATGTTTAATGCAAAGTTTAGTTCAGTACAAAGTTGAATTACAACAGTCCAACGAGACAGAGCCTGGATTTGTATTCTGAACAGTTATGTGTGATGCCTCAAAAAGCGTCATGCTCAACTATTAAAACCACTAGCAGGGTGAAAAAAATCGAAATATTGTAGCACAGATGGGCTACAACTTTTGGATCGATTTTAATAATTTATTAATTATCTTCTGTTGAAAGATAACTGTGAGGTACATGAGCGACTGGTATTGGTTGCTGTCACCTGTTGTGATTGGTTAAAGCAGCTCTCTGCTGTCTGAGGGTAGGCCCCGCCCACAACGCTGCGGCTGCTGCGGCTCCCAGTGTTTTCTTTACAGTGGGAAATGGGTAATAATGGCTCTTTGATGGGGAAAGGTTGCCGACGAGCGCAAAATTTCACACGCGTGTTTTTCGCGTTTTGCTTAGTAGGACGGAGACCCGCAATAACTGCTTTGTCGCGCATCTCTCATTGAAAATGAATGGAGGAGAGGCGATGTCACCTCCTGTGTGTCGAGCTCATTAATCTGGCATGAAGACATAAAAAAAGGAAAAAACTCTTCTAAGCTAAATAATTATTGGTTAATAACTTCTTTGCTAATCTCCAATTTTCCTCATGTTATTAATGCTGAATGTAACATTTCATGCAGTTGGTTTTCTGAATGTTCATGATGATATTTCATTCTTATTAAATTCATCATGTCAGGTTTTAAAGGTTCATTTGCTTTGGTACACAACATGAATAATGATAATTATTTATTTTACAGTCTATTTGCTGTAGTGGGCCTATTGTTGTGCAGAACTCTGCATGCATGTGGGAACTTGGTCTGTGCAGACTGATCCAAAACAAGATTTTTAACCAAGTTTGCTTAGAAACAAGACTCAAATGTTTTTTCTGTTTAATTAAACCAAACTGACCGTTTTCTGCACCCTTTAGTTTAATTTCAATACAAGAGTGGCTTTAAACAGGCACACCTGGGGGTAGGGTTGTAAAAAAAATGAGGACTATGGAAGTCACAATTTAAATTTCTGATGCCAGTGTTGGTGCAAACAGGCTATTTTAAAGTAAAGGAAAAATAAATTTCCATTGATTTGCATATGTTAACTTATTACAGTGTAGACAGGATGCAAATCAACAGCTCCTCGGTGTAATGTAGTTGGTCATATTTGTTTAACTTGGTGTGTTCTCAAGCAAGGCCATTTTAATTATAAATTACGATGGTCAGGAATGTAAATATAAACATGAAGCAAAGTGAATTTTCTCTTTATTTAATTGTTGTCTAAACAGTTAGTGCCATAGAGAATTGTTTATCTCAAGAGTATTTATTTACCAGCAGGTCTTGTGTCCTTCAGATGCTGCTGATGAATAATGTAATGCGTGTTTGCTGTCAAAGCATCTCGTAGCCATCTGTAGCTTCTTTTGGAGAGAGGGATGGGGGAGGAGAAGGTGTGGTTGGTCAAACACCCCTCACCCCTAGAGAGGAACCAGGGAAAGTGTATCCTTCTGCCTGCTCACAAACCACAGATGCAACAACTCTTTCAGGCTGAAGAATCAGGCGTAAACCACACCACATCACTCTCCCAAAGTTACTACAATAAAGTGGCTCCTGCATTTTTTCCGCTCTGTTTACTCTTTAATCTGCAAAAGCAGCTTTATTTTATTACAGATTCTTTGAATTCAGCAGCATGGTGCCTCCTGAATGAGGATTTGGTTGTATTAGGACATGTTTTAACTGAATTTTCTATGATTATAATATAGTTTGTGTGTAACCACTTACCTGAGAGTGGGGTGGAGGGTTGTGGGTTTCTTGGTGTAACAGATGAGGAATAAAATGTGTGTTTGTTCAGGTGTGGGATTATGAGACCGGGGACTTTGAGCGCACACTGAAAGGCCACACGGATTCGGTTCAGGACATCTCGTTTGACCAAACTGGCAAACTGCTAGCATCCTGCTCTGCAGACATGACGATCAAACTGTGGGACTTCCAAGGCTTTGAGTGCATCAGGACCATGCATGGTAGGAAGATGCTCCATGTTCACGCACTTCAATCTTTACAAGTTGGCTGAATGTTGTTAGGTTTGAACACAGGACTCCAGTGGAAGTCATCATGTCTCACTACAGCTTCATTTATTAGCTTCTGCTTAAAGATCCCAAACCTCTTTAATGAGTGCTCATTAATTTGTGACACTGCCATAAATGTTTACTGATGAAAGAAAACAGCAAACTCGGCTCCTGCCTTCTGACATTTAAGAGCTGCTAATGCTTGAAGCAAATGTTTTCTGTTTTTGTAAATGAGTGAAAACTGATCCTAGAACAGATGTCCTCAAACTACTTTCACTACCTAAAACCTTTCGATATAACCTGTTACGTTTCATCATTTCCTCTTCACCTTAAATCTAAATTTAAACTAAAATCCACACGTTCTGCTTTTTCTAATATCTATATATTTTTTTAAAGAAAAAAGCATCACAGCTAACTGAAGTAGATTAGCGCTGATGAGGAGAGCAGTTAATTATCCTCTTCAGCAGCAGATAGCTCCTCTCTGTGTAGCCACACTGGTTATTACAGTCTTGGGGCATGTGTGAGTGTTCAGACACACGTGCACATGGCTAAGCTGGCCTTTTATGGCATACTTACTGTTGTCTTTGTGTGTTTAGCAGATTAAATATGGCCCAGTGTCTTGGTAATTAGGCAAATCTCATTCTCCGTGGAGCTAAATCAGCTCCGGTAAAATTAACTGCCTGATTAGTTGTTTAATTGGATAATTACGTCCAGCGTCTTGGTGCTGACGATGTGCAGAAACTATGGCAGGATATTTATTTTGTCGGTTAAAGTTGGGAAGATTTAAAGGATGTTGTGTTGTATAATTTTGTGTAGCTTCTGCCTCTTACTGGGATTTTTTTTCGCAGGACATGATCACAACGTTTCGTCTGTAGCCATCATGCCCAGCGGAGATCACATTGTTTCAGCTTCAAGGGACAAAACTATAAAAATGTGGGAAGTGGCAACTGGGTACGGAAAAAACATTCTGAAACCGCAACTTTTTAAATGTACTTTTATGCATTGAATTCATAACATCCTTTCTTGTCCATTAGCTACTGTGTAAAGACCTTTACAGGTCACAGGGAGTGGGTCCGCATGGTGCGACCCAACCAGGACGGCACACTGATCGCCAGCTGCTCCAACGACCAGACAGTCCGCGTTTGGGTCGTGGCTAACAAAGAGTGCAAGGCTGAGCTGCGGGAGCATGAACACGTGGTGGAGTGCATCACCTGGGCTCCTGAAAGTGCCCATCCCACCATTCTAGACGCCACAGGTTCTGAGGTAACAGAGAGGTTTCTGTTCCCTGGTTTAGCTCTGGGTGTTCTGTCCTGGTTAGAGCAGGAAGATCAGGTCACAGTGGGTTTACGTTGTTTGGTAACTAGTGATCAGGTGGTGATGACTGTAAACCATAATAAATTCGGTTATAGCACAATAATCTTCAAATTAGTGCATCTTTAAATAGATTTTCAGGACTCTGATCTATATTAGGTAGCTACTGTTTTCTAAACAGGCAGAACTAAAGTGATTCTGTTGGGTTTGATTTGGTCTGGAGTCCTACAATTCAATACAATTCAATTCAATAATACTTTATTAATCCCAGAGGGAAATTAGAGTTTCAGTACACATACATACATACATACATACATACATACATACATGCATGCATGACAAAGCATACAGAGTTATGTTTTAGGCTCTACCGTGTGTTCTCTCTCGCCACACGTGCAGCATGTCAGAGGATTTCATACATCACTGCTCAGACTGATGGCCATGTTTAACCCAGCAGCTGTGTGAGGACAGACTGAATCAGAGCCCCCCCACCCCACCCCCCGTTATCTCCTGTGTGTACAATCGCAGCCTTGACGGATTAAAATAGGCTGTTTTTGCTCCAAGCCTTTGTCCCAGTCCAACATGTGCTTCTGCTGCACAGAAGCTGGTCTTTGGTGTCTATTAGGAGTCATTGTGGAATCGACCACGGACAATCTAATCACTAAAATTTAGTTTCACAGGAACGAAAATTATGGTTTATGACCAATTTGCCAAGGGACATGAAAACATGCAGATTTCCTAAGTCCTGATTTATCTTGGTGTCGATATTTTCTTCAGAAAAAGAATAATTTATGATTTAATATAATTTTCTTGTTTTTGTGTCTGAGCAGACCAAGAAGAGTGGCAAGCCCGGCCCCTTCCTGCTGTCTGGGTCAAGAGACAAAACAATCAAGATGTGGGATGTTAGCATTGGCCAGTGCCTTATGACACTGGTGAGAAACGCCTGACGCTAAAGGCTCCTACTCAAATCTGTGTTTTATTTACTCGCAAAAAAAAAGAAGCTGTGTTTAAGGAGAACGTTTTGCCTCATAAATTCATCAGTAGTGTCTGTCTCTCAGGTTGGACATGATAACTGGGTGCGTGGTGTCCTCTTCCACCCTGGAGGCAAGTTTATTGTGACCTGTGCTGATGACAAGACCTTAAGGATCTGGGACTACAAGAACAAGCGCTGCATGAAGACTCTGTGTGCCCACGAACACTTTGTTACCTCTCTGGGTACGCTTCCCCTCACTCCTACAAAATAAAAGCCTACAAAATAAAAGCCCCCTTCTTGTGTCATCCTCACTCTTGCTACAAAGTATTTTTTAGAGCTTTAATCTACCCAAAATCGACAGACACTTGAGCCTTTTGAGCTTCGATGTAGCTAATAACCCAAACTGTAAGATGCATTTCATCATTCAAGCAAATCTGGAACATTTAGGAGTAGAGGTGTGCAGCTGGTGTTGCATTAATTGTTTGCGTTTGCTTTGTGATGATTTATTTATATTTTTCTTTCAGATTTCCACAAGGCTGCTCCCTTCGTGGTCACTGGGAGCGTAGATCAAACAGTAAAAGTATGGGAGTGTCGCTGATTTGGACCTCGGCGGATTGGACCAACACCCTGATTTCACCCAGGCGCTCTTCTGGAACCCCCACCCCACCCCACCCCTTTTATTTTCTGCTTACCCGTCAGTCACCTGACCATACCATACCCTCCCCTCTGCACATCTCCTCCTCCAGCTGCACCCGTCACCATCATTTACCCTCGGCGCTCTCTGGTCCAATAAATTTTGTCCTTCTCTGTAAATTATTCCTGGATGTAGATCGAGCTATTAAATGTTACACGACAAAAAAAGTATTCTTGCATGGTAATCCAAAATTGTATACTGTAAATTTACATAACGTTTGTCTAGACGTACCATAGGTTTAACACGAGGCGGGGGCTTCCGTCACGCCGCCTCACCGACCAATCGAAGGCAGATGTCTGTCTAGGTATGAGACGTAGGGCACTAAAAAACTGATAATTTAAGAAATGACAGTGTCTTTAAGTGTAAGATTTATTTTTGTTAATTTTTTATGTTTTCTCCTGCTGTTATTCATCTCCTGCACTGTCGTAGTCTATCGGTGCCTAGCTCGGTGACACGTTTGAAACAAAAAGGACAGAAATGCATAAAAGAGATGTTTGTGGGGCGTTGTCAACTCAATCTGTAGCTTTATAACATCACTTATCAAGTGTGCGTACCACTTCTCCATGTGGAACTAGGTAATATTTTAATGGCTGTATATACGAATGTTTCATACTGTCGTTCTTGGATCTGGGGGGCTCGAATAGCTTTGTACTCTTCTCATGGTGGCACATAATCCACTGCAGAGCTTTAGACTAATTGTCTTGTTTAAAAGTAAGTGGCTTTGTGAAGCCGGTTAGCTTCTCTATACATGAGCAGCTTGGTGCAGGGCAGGAAATATGCGAGACGATGATCGGAAGTCACGCTGCCACTAAGAAATATAAACAAACTTTATTTGAAAATGCTCTCAGTGATGGACACATAAGGAAACAAAGTGAGCCCCCTTCTGGGTTTGATATCTGGGATGTGCAAAGATCTTTCATTGATGAGTTTGTTCTGAGAAAAGTCCTTTTTTTTTTTCTTTATTAAATAGGAAATGTAAATTTAGTCTGTTCTAATAAGATTGGGCTGTTTTTGTACAACGGCACTACTGGGTGCGGTGGATGAGTTTTTGTTGGGAATCGTCAGCTGCACCATGCCGGAGGTTCTGTTGGGTCGATACGTTTCCTCGCTGTTAACGACTGGACCAGAAGTGAAGGACCTCTGTGGATAAATCCCACTTACACGCACGTCTTCTGCGTGGTGTTGCTCAAGCATTCAGCCTTCAGTCTTTGTCAAGCTGGAACTGTAAAAACGGAAACCACCTTTCCACTTTACCTTGTAGAAGAAAGAAAGGAAACATCTTGCTCTGAATTGTGGCAGACAAGGTGATTCTTTAATCTTGCACATCCCTGTTTTCACTGAATCTTTGCTTGCTGATTGGTTGATCAGAGATAACAAAACAAGCATAAACCTACTTTTTTCATTCCAGTGCAGTTCTCAGCTAATAACCAATTCCACTGCTTCTCATCTTTGGCAAGTTTTCCTCTTTGTCTGTGTTCTGGATGTGGTGATCTGCTGCTCGAGCTCTTACTAGTGGCTACTGTGAGCCTTATGTGACCTGTTTATGTAGCACTGCTGCATGCAAACCTGCATCCAGAGGCAGAGCTGTCAGAACGGATCCCCATAAATGCACAAAGCCCCCTACGTCAGACTGATTGGTTTGATTAAAGTGAGTGTTCTTACTGTGGTTTGGGGAGCGTTATATTGCCTTTTTGCTGAAAGCTGGATAAGGTCATTATTGATCTCCTACAGTCAAAAAGGAAAGGTAGTAATCCAAAATCATTCCTTTAAAGCAGCTGGCCGGCTTACGTTCAGACCTTCAGACAGCTGTTTAGTTTGTAGGCAGGCTGGTTTGTTGTGTTAGATGCTAACTGAGGGAGGTTTTGCAGCCTCTTGTAAATGAAGTGGGATTGTGGCAGACTAAAGGCGAAATCTTCTCTTTCAGCAAATTCTCCTGATGTCTCCTTTTGATGTGTGCCCCTTTTCAAAGGTTGTATTTTATTTTCTAAAAGCCGTTCTAACTGTCCAAAATGTCTGGGGCAAAGGCTTCAGGTGACGAGAAAAGTGGTTACATTTGTAATTAAATTTGGCACAGTTAATGAAGAGGCCAATGTGTTACGTGTTCTAGATGAAGCCAAAAATGGAGACATTTGTCTGTACAATCTGGTCAATCTTGAGACATCAACACAGTGACCAATCTTTAGAAAGAAAAGTCCACTCAGGGTCACGCTACGACATGCCAGACCACTACATAGAAAATTAAACACCATTCCCTCAATGAAGGAGGTCTGGCTGCTGTGTGTTCCTTTTTATTTTGTAGTAATCCGTAAAAAGAAGAAAAAAATGGAAACTTCTAAAAACAGCAGTTTAAATGCAAATGCTGAAGAAAATCCAGTTTTGGACATTTGCAGGTCCCAAGCAATCCCGTGCTGCCGTGGGCCGGTGTGTGAAGGGACCAACGTGTCTGTGGGTCGTTTCCCATCAGCCTCTGTAAGCTGTCTGTCAACCACATCCCAGGACTGCAGACTGCACAACTGGCCCTAACATGAGAGCTCATGATGTTTTTACCACTCTTCACTCAGCAAACTGTTAACAATATACTGGATGTCATTATTGTTTGCAATATAATAAAAGAAGAAAAGCTGCATCTGTGTGTTCTGCTCGTTTGTATTTAGGGCGTAGATAAGATGGTTTTAAATGTATACACACGCACCAAACCATACTACCTCCAAGTTTGTAGTTTTTTTTTATTACTCCTGGTTCTAAACATCTAATGTTAATATGTGGTCTCCTGCACAGATTACATTAACACGTTTGATCCAGCAAATGGTTAAAAAGTAATACAAGAGAAAATAGAAGAGAAAAGTGTGAACATTTGGGGAGTAGGTGTAGATGGTGACAAATTCATTGTGAAGCACAGTAGAGGGAGTATCATGGTTTTCAGTCAGCATGTTTTTCTTGCTGCTGGACACTTCTGACAGCCTCTGAAGGGAGTGTGAAGAAAAAGTATTAAAATAGAGCAGAAGTCTGACCTCAAAGCTAGGAAAGGTTGTATGTTTGGAGAGAAGTCAGCAGGTGATCAAGTTTTTTGATGCCAAGGCAGTCTTGACTTCTGTTTAATGAAATCCCCAGTTCTCAAAATGTATTAATTCTTTAACAATATTTGGTTTATTGTAAAGGGGAATTTAAACCTAAATAAAACCTAAAATAAAAAAGTGTTTTGGGCATTGAAACATTTTCAAACTAATTTCTTATAGATAAAAATTATACTTTTGTTTCACTCTGCTTACAGTTTTCTATTTGACATAAATAATAAAATCATTTTATCAGTTTCATTCAAGAAAAAAACGTAAATAAAATTGTAAGTACTGGATAATATGATCTGAAAAGAACCGAACCCCCTTTTCTGGATCGTTGTGATGACGTCACAGCGCACTGGCGTAAAGTGGTCACGTTTACGACGTACAGGAAGAGAGTTGCAGAAACTAAAACAAACGTTTCATCAACGTGAGTTTTGGGGATTTCCATTGACCTGAGCGACTCAACGAATGTGAGTGAATATTACCGACAACCGAATTTCAGAAAAAACTGCTATAAATCTAAATGGAGACTAATATTACGTCGTAATTAGTAACTGCAGAGTTAGCTTTAAAGTTAGCAATGTGTAACAAGCAGCATGATGATTAAAATGTGTCCATTTTTTATTTCAGGGAGAACAGTAATTTAATATGAGCTGGATATTTAGTAAATAACTTTGTAAGCTGTTTTCAGATGTCATGAACCGCAGTAATTGTGTTGTTTATGTTTGTTGTTGTTTTTCCAGAGCTGACCTCATGGCCCTCAATAAGTCCATGCATCATCGGAACCGGTACAAGGACAAACCGCCGGACTTTGCTTACCTGGCTTCCAAATATCCAGAGTTTCGGCAGTACGTGCACACCAGCCTCGCCGGACGACCTGTGTAAGTGCACGAACCCCGCTTGTGTAACCATACCAGCCCTGGTACTGGTAGGTCCAGTTCTTTATTAACTCTGCGTTGTGTTGTACAAAGAGTCTTGAGACGAAGTTTTTGCTGACACCAGCATTTAATCTGTCAACACAGGAATGCTGGTCAGAAACCTAGTTTTTGGTGGGATTGGTAGGATCAAACAGCACACTCTCGAACGGCTCCGTCTTAAAACTGACTAACGTCCGTTAAACACATAACTTTAACAATTACCTGTCAACACAGGAATGCTGGTCAGAAACCTAGCTTTTGGTAGGATTGGTAGGATCAAACAGCACACTCTGTTGGAATAAAAATACTGACATAAGTATTAAATAACTTTGAAAGTTTTCCTCAATCCTCACATACGTGTGCTGATAGAACCCGACCTACCTCGATCGGCTCCGTCTTCAAACTGACTAACCGCCAGCGCAGCTGGATACGTTAGTACGTAATGCACGTAAACGGTTTCAACTGTTTTACTGATGGCAAGTGGAATGACACTATTTACTCTGTTACACTTGCCTGCTTGCTTTTCTCTCATTATTTTTTCTATCGTCGTCCTGGACTTCATTCAGCATCACAGACTGGGATCCGTGGCTGGAGCTAAAGTCAGAATATTTTAAAATTCGCGCAGTTTTAAAAATATATACATTTTGCATTAATAGGTTTTATCAACGGTAACTTCTCATTCATAAAACACTCTAAAACTTGACCAGACACATGGTCAATGAAAGAGTGTTTAGGTGTTTACATAAGTTTGTTTTGATGTGTCATATATTTCACCTGTGAGGTTCTGAGGAACACAATCAGCTCCCAGTCGATACCGTTTCTGATGCTCATTCAGCAGCAACACTGAACTTTTCTGCTTTCTTTAATCTTCCTTTTTTCTGAAAGTTTGCATGTTTTGCTGACAAATTTTAAGATCAGATCCTGTTTGTTTTACACTAAAATGATCATTCACCACTCATCAACTTACATTTTTTCAAACAGACTTTAAACAAAAACACTGTCAGCAAGTGTCAGAACTAACATGTGCTGTTAATCTCCTGTCATTGTTCTTTGTGTCTAAAACGAGCAGCTCGGGGGGGAGGAACCCTGTTATTGCTGATGTTATGAAGATGAATGTGGACATTATTTCAAACATGGTGAAGTGTCCAGTCAATCATGTAGAGGTGGACAGAGCCTGCATGTGTTGGCCTGCTGCAGAAACTCACTTGATGCCATGTTGTGAGTGACAAGTGCTCATTAACATTTTGTAGCATCTGTGTTGTGAGTCTGTTGGTGTTTTCCCTCACAGACGGACAGATAACAAAGAGCTGGCAGGATTTGGCTTGGATTGTCAGCATGAAAACAAAGTGCTCTGAGTTATGTTTGAATTATTGTGGCAACAGAAACACGCAAGCAGATGTGCAAATGAAGCATTTGTCTATGAAGGTAAAAATGATGCTGAGAAGCATCACAGGTCACAGCTGGAGTTTATTGTACCAAACCTGTTTCTTTTCTATATTAAAACCATCAAATGGGATAATGACATATTTGGGGTTTGTTAGAATAGAATAGACTTTATTAATCTCACATTAGGGAAATTCACTTGCTACAGCAGCTCATACACTTGAAGAAGAGGAAGAAGATGATAATAACAAGATTACAGGTAAATAAACAAAGGCAGTAAGCGAGTGATACTCAATAGGTGACACTCCCCACCCCCGACCGGACCTTTAATATAGGGGTACTGCCATACTGTGAGCCCAAATTACTCAAACAGCAAGAATTGTGCAGCAGTCATGTGACAAGATCACAAAACTATTAGAAACATTTATAATCAGACTTGCTTTCTCAGCATTGGCGCCCCCAGCGGGTGGCTGAGGATGCCCTGCCCCCCAGGGAAGGCCTTCCCCACTTCAATAAATACTCTTCATGTTCATGAAAACCCAGGGCTGTCTTCACACGCTCTCACACCACACCTCCAATTTCTGCCCGCTGTCAGATATAGAAAAATGCAAAAGTTGGCAGCCCTGAAAACTGTACATTAATCTTCTTTAATCAAGATATAAATGTAAAACCCAATAAAAAAAAAAGTAAATCTTAATTCAAAAATATATATTTGTTACTGACTGTTCTAAAATAAAATGTTTTATTTTATTTTAATTACCTTAAAAGACTCAAAGTCTCTTTTTACACTTTATATTTATTTAATCAGGATCGTTGTCAAGTCGACGCCAGAAACAATGAAACACAACTTGAATATCAGATGAACAACAAGGCTTTATTCAACCGGCATTCATACAAGTTATCAATCATGGACAAAACATTTCTCTTACCGTTGCTTATGGGTGGAGAGCTGAACACCCCAGTTAGAAAACGTAATCCATGATAGGTGAAGAACTGAACACATGTAATCCATGAACCTCGTCAGGTAGAATCCTTCAAGCAGCTCTAACCCCCCTGAGCCCTGCTCTGCTCCTTATACATTCCCTGATGTGCGTGCAAAGCTGCACACCTCTACCATGATTACCTTGATTACATCCTCATGATCACATTATGTTCGGCTCTACCATGATTACCCTTGATTACATCCTCATGATAAGTGTGATTGACAAACAGTAGTGATCAATAACTTATATAAAGCAATTATACAACAGATGACAAGTTCATTTTTATTACATTCCACTCTTGAACTTTTCATCTAATTTATGTAACATATCCATCACCATTTCCCCATCAAAACCAACGTCATTTATAACATACCTTGTAGTTCCACTTTAATTTTCATCGTAGTCTTTGCATTATTACCCAATTTATTTCTCTTAATAAGATTACACAATGTTAGAATGCTGATTATAATTAATGCTGCAATCATAGGTGGAATTAGCACTTTATTAGCGGTACTCGACATGCCTGTAAATATATCCCACCAATGATGAGCGGAAGCCTGTTCAATCAATGTAGCAACATGTTTTATTTCCCCTTGTGCCACAAGAGTAGACACCATGAGCCTGGAAAGGTTGGACCTATGAGAGTCAATCAATTTTGCCACTTCAGTGGAACCATCCAATGCGCATTTGAATCGTTCCAGTGAGAGTGTCCAAGGGGAGTGTAAAACCTCCCATTGTATCTTAGTCAGCCGACTAGATACAGTGTAATTACTTAACCAATAGGTCACGTTATTCCATTCCCACATATGTATACCCTTGAGACAACCTGAAAAGGGAACTGAAGGTACCTGTGGGGAATTGGTCATTGTAGCCACGCATAAGGTGTTAGGACTAGGGCTGCTCAATTAATCGAATTTTAATCACGATTACGATCTGAGTTTTGAACGATTATAAAAAACAAAACAAGCCGATTATTTGCTCCTCCCGCTTGCGCTGCCCTGAGTTGCAAATGAAGCGCTCCTCCCACAGTGTTGCCAACTTAGCGACTTTGACGCTATTTCTAGCAGCTTTTCAGACCCCCTTCTTGACTTTTTAATCCTAAAAGTACCTAGCGAACACCTCAGAAACATCTCTGGTAACCCTTAGCTACTTTCTGGATAACTGTCGTTGACATTTCCTGCAGGTTAGCTAAACACTCCGCCTGCGCTCCGGACCGTTCTTCACAACATTAGGAAAGGGAATGATGTAGTGATGTGTCAGTCGCTAAAGAAACAGCTCTCGGAGCCGGCTCCCTGTTGGATTAACCAGAGTGAGTGACACACACACCGCACCTGCGGACTCCTGAGCCGCTAAAAACAGCTAAATGTGCGCGTGCTAAACACACGTGCAGCTTGCCCGATTGCTGTGAGACCGGGGTGGAGGGTGGGGGGTGCAGCTGTGGTTGGGACATTTATTACATTAACTGATGGACTTGTAAATAAATAGTTTAAAATAAGGTAGAAATAAGTTCCTCACACTGATAACTAATAACTAATCTCTCTGAGGACACGGTGCTAGTGCACGCTCCTACAGCACCTTGACACGACTCAATAAATGTTATACAACATTTTGTGAACATCAATTTATTTGCGTTTATTTGTTATAAATGCCACTGTATAATTCTTGCTGTCAGTATTTGCAAGATGTTGGTATTTGGGTCTGTACTGGTTAGACTTACATGAGTTAAACCAAGGTCTATAGCCCTTGGGTCATAGACTATGAGCTATAAGTATATTGGTCTTTTTATACTGGGAATCAGGAGTTATTTTAGTGATCATCTTGTTTCTTATTTTTGTCCTGATTGTGCCCTGAGCAATTTTATGACTGAATAAAAACAAATAAAATCAACATAAATTGAAAAATCGTCCTAAATAATCGTGATCTCAATTTCAGTCACCATAATCGTGATTATTATTTTTACCATAATCGAGCAGCCCTAGTTAGGACCCACCTGCCAAAACTGTTCCTCTGGGGGTGTGACCGTCCAATCACAGAGTACGACCCTTGAATCAGTGAAACATGGATTGCTATGTCCTTTTACCAATGGGCAGGCTAAACCCTTATCAGTCTCATCACAGTGTTTTACTTCATATGTTCGATTTGTTTTAACATCCCACCACTCTCCACTAACATGGAGATACCAAAACCCTTTAGTGGTTATCACCGGCAGTATCTGATATCTACACACAGTCATTACTGATGTCATATTATACTGATCCCAGTATCCAGTACACATAGATTTATTACAAATCGTCATTTCTGCATGTGGCTGTAGCCATAATGAACTACTGATGTTCCATAATGTTCGCCATGCATGATAGTTATTACTCATTACCTGTATTTGAAACCTATTTCTTTGTGTCTCAGCATGAATAGTCTGCAAGGAACAGACTGTCCAATTACCTATGTGTGACAAATTATGCAATGCATCATAAGTTTCATTCCAAAGCTTTAGATTCCATTTAAATACACTTTTCCACACATCACTTCCTTCTAACTGACTAGATACAGTCGAAGGCATCCATCTTGCAGTCTTGGTGACAGCTTGTGCGGTGTATTCTCCAGTGTTGGACAGCATAGTTCGTGTCACCTCATTGTCTGCTGTGTTAGCCAGACCATACAAAGTTCCAGTTCCTCCTAGCACGGTGTCATACCATGCTCGCCTCCTCCTGTTGCAAGGCGGAATAGGAGGGAATTTCACAGTCCATCGCACATATTCGGCTACCCTTATTTGTCCCATTTGTTGACAAGTGTGAACCAGGGGAGCTACAGCTGTCTGCGTAGCTCTAGCTGTGTCGGGCAGCACCCAGAATATGTACAAATAGGCGTGTCCTCCTGTGATTACAGTTCCATTCCTGATCCAGAAATCGTGATCAACCTTCATACTCCAATTTGTGCCATTTTGTATGCAAGTACCATTCCCCTGATGGTATGCACAGATGCGCGCTGCAGAATTAAAGGTTACTGTTGATCCTTGAACCAACACCCCCGGGCTGATCACCCTTCCTCGGAATTTAAGACATCCTCTGCACCGGTACATCTTACCGGTAGATGTTAGGTTTCCCAAGTAGCAAGCGTCATTTGCTCTGCATGTGAATGTGCCTTGAGTGCGGTTGGACATACTGCTAACCAATTCCAGATGGCCCATGACCCCTTCTTCCAACACTTGTCCTTCCGTGAGCCCCCAACAGAAATGTGCCCTCAGTGCGATGACAGCGAGGACATGGAGGACGATGACCAAACATCCGACACCACCAGGTCCGCGGAGCCCATCCATCGCCTCGACAAGGGTTCAATCCTTTTGTAGGGGAAGGGGACCCAGTCAACCACCGTCACTCAGACACCCGCCTATGGGATACATACAAAACTGCAGATAGAATGACAAGCATTAATTTTCTCTCCTGTAACATTTGTTTATCGGAATATTAATCCATTTTTCCTCTCCGGGGAACAATACACTTACCACAGCATCTTTTCCCTGTGCAATAATCTCTCCAGCTCTGGGAGGACCATTGAGCTGCTCCACCCACACTTTTGCCCCCGCAGTAAAGTCTGATGATCCAAACCCAGTTTCACCCCTCTGAGTGATAGTGGTAGGTTTAGTAATCTCTTCAACTTTGGACATTACACACCGTTTGATTACTAACTGAGCTATCTTGTCTCCTTTTTCCAGTACCAACGGTTCTTTACCTGTATGCTGACACACCACACCTATTTCCCCTTGATAGTCTGAGTCTATTACCCCAGCTAAAATGGTTAGACCCCTCAAAGCTAAACCACTTCTTGGACACACATGAGCATAAGTTCCTGGTGGACATTGAATTCCCAATCCTGTTTTTACCACTGTCACTTTATTGGTTACTAAAGTGATGCTTTCCAAGATTTTAAGATCTAATCCCACAGAGCCCGCAGTTGCTCTAACAGGGAGTTCTGCCTCAGAAGTTAGTTTCCACATTCGTATAGGAGGGTCAGTAGAAGTTGTTTCCCTTCCTGCCCTGGCAACCATTATTACCATGTGTACTATTTTCAACTCCGCCCATTGACTACTCTTTCCTGTCCCTGTGAGTTCCATAACTTGTTGTGTACCAGGGTTAAATGCCCCAGCCTTCCATTTCCTGGTTCCTGCCACATATTGACAGGAACCATCAGTGAACCAGGCTCGCTCCTGCTGCTCTGGGGTGAGTTCGCTCCATCTTACCCCCAGTTTCACAGGAGAATCCTGGATTGGTTTTACCTCAAAAGGCACTTCATCCATTTCTGGAACGTCTGCCACTTGCTCGTGGAGCATTGATACTCCTTTTTCTCCTGGTTTCATTCTCTCAGAAACATACCACTTCCATTTTATGATGCTAGCCTCTTGAGCTACCCCTATGCGGTGAGTTGTAGGATTGCTCATGACCCAAGTTAGAATGGGTATATGTGTTCTCATCATTACTTCATGCCCCACAGTTTGGGCTTCTGTTTCCAACAAATAGAGCTGAAACAACTAATCGATTTAATCGATTATAATCGATTATTAAAATAGTTAACAACTTTTTTAGTCATCGATTAGTTGTTTAATAATCATATTTTACCGCATAAAGTCTATTTTTTACCACAATCTGACATCGGTTACAAGCTGTTAAATTTGCCGCCAGTGTGTGGCAGTAATGAGCCACTGATCTACCAGTGGAGCCGTAGAAGAAGAAATGAGCCAATGGGTGCCCTCGGTTTTCATGACGTATCACGTTACTGACGCTCATCTTGCTGTGAGAGATGGCGGAACAAGAGGAAATACGGAAGAAAAATAGAAGCGACAAAACTGAAGAGAAAGCATGAGACGAAAAGCATGTGGGGGCTGATGCAGCAGAGGAAGAGCACCGCGGTCAAGTGAGCCGTCATTTGGAAGAGCCAGCCCGGTAAGTAACAGAAAATAAACAAGCTGGACTTAGTGTTTTAGCTGAGTTCGTTATAGTGGATGTTAAACATGTTTTTTTGCCGCGTCAGTCTGCGGTGTTCTACTTCTGATTGACTAGATGCAATCGTGAATCTCCTCCGTGTTGTGTATCATGCGCTTGCCAAATTTAGCACGTCTGTTTATAAGAATGTTCTCGTTAAGAGAAAAACGGCACAAACCCATAACTATGTTCCTCATTCAAAAAAGGACAACTCCGCGGAGAAAAATATACAGACAAGCTGTGTCCAGGTGAATATAACGCGGCATAGTTGTACACTTTCAATTTTTAAATACAGGAGAAATTCAGAAAAAGTCATTTTTTTACTATTAAAAGGCTGTTTTACTATCTAACGCTGTAAAACGCCTCACAACACATTTTTATCATGTTTCTTAAACAGTATTACACAAAATAAACATTTTTCACATTTCTCTGGCTAATTTAAACACTCCCGACTCAAAGTAAAAACCTCATGAGCTTCTTACTTAGAGCTTTTTAATAGTAAAAATGTTTTACTTTTTTTCTGAATATCTCCTGTTGCGGGCTATTTTGTAGAACGTAACCCTCAAAATAAATGATCACTGTATATTGTTAATTAATTCAAATAATATAATATTGATTTAGTGTTGTAGTGTGTGTGCTGCTTTATTTTATATGTGTACTTATTTCAGTCTATTTGTGTTTCTTATGCAGAAAAAAACAAGCAACGATGGACAACTACATGGGGAAGAAGACACTCACCCCCCAGCAATTCATACCACTTACAAACTCTATTCTAAACATGCTGGTAAAAGACATGAGGCCACTATCCATGGTGGAAGGAGCAGGCTTCCAGCTAATGCTAAAAATTATTCTGGACTGATATTTTGCACTGTTTAGCTCATTTTATACTGCTGACTGTGTTCATGTGCAATAAAATAGATTGCAGTCAACTGCACAATTCTCTTATGGTTTTTTGTTCTTAACTGAAATGCATCCATCACTTGTATAGGTTAAATAGCTAAACAATAACAAACCGATTAATCGATTAATCGAAAAAATAATCGACAGATTAATCGATTATGAAAATAATCGTTAGTTGCAGCCCTACCAACAAAGCCCAATAACATGCCAACAACTGTTTTTCAAATGGAGTATATCTCTGTCCTGCATCAGGCAATTTCCTAGACCAAAAACCCAAAGGTTTTCTGCACCTATCTTGTTTTTGCCACAAACTCCAGTTAGCATAATCATTTACTGCAGAAACCTGTAACTCCACTGGTCCTGACAACATCTTCCCCAAAGAAACCGCTTGTTGGATTGCCCCTTTAGCTAGTTCAAATGACTGTTGTTGATCAGGCCCCCATTCAAACTGCTCCTTCTTCCGAGTGCATCTGTACATAGGCTGCAAGATCTGTCCTAAATGAGGTATGTGGTGTCTCCAGAACCCGAACAACCCAATATACCGCTGAGCATCTGTCTTATTCTGTGGTATTGGGAACCGTGCTATTTTCTCTTTAGCTTTAGTTGTTATCTCTCTTTCCCCTCTATTCCAGATAATTCCCAAGAACTTCACTGACTGTGCAGATCCCTGCACTTTCGCTGGATTTATCTCCCATCCATGATTCTTCATATGTGTTATCAGAAGTGGGAGCAATTGCTCAACCTCTTCTTTAGTGTTTCCCTGAATCATGATGTCATCAATGTAGTGTGATAGCAATATGCCTGATGGGATCTTTAAAGTCGACAGATTTTCAGCCACTATCCTATGACAGATTGTGGGTGAATGCAAATACCCTTGTGGTAATCTGGTGAAGGTGTACTGTCTTCCTTCCCATGTAAAGGCAAACTGTTCCATCTTGTCCTCAGGGATAGGTATGGTAAAGAAAGCATTGGCCAAATCTATCACCGCATACCATGTACCAGAGTGATGCTGCACCCTTTCCACAATCGTGATAACATCCGGAACCGCAGACGTTAAAGGAGGAGTATGTTTATTCAGCGCTCTATAATCCACAGTCATTCTCCATGAACCATCTGATTTCTTCACTGGCCATAAGGGATTATTCCACCGTGTGGTGCATGTTTTCAAAACTCCTGCCTCCAGATATTCTTTAATAGTTTCCGTAATTTCTTTCTGACCCCCAGGCAACCGGTATTGTTTTTGTGATACCACCTGTGTTGCTTCAGGAATGGGAAAAGGTGTCATTTTGACCTTGCCTACCAAAATGGTGTGGATTCTGTTTATACCAAAACAAAATCGACCATGTTTCAGATGAAGAGTCATTCCGGCCAATATATCCATTCCAATAATCCATTCCCTTGCAGGAGCCACTACTACACTGTAATTTCTAATAGGTTGATTTCCTATTTTTAAGGGCAAAGTTACTCCCTTTCCTACTAACATCTGCCCCCCAAGTCCAGTCAAAGGTACAATGTTTCCCTTTATTTTATCAGGATTGCCATGAATTACCGAGGCCTCCGCCCCAGTGTCAACCAATGCCATTACTGTCTGTACTGATTTTTTCCAATAAATCTGTAATTCCACATGTGGTCTGATATCATTTATTGACCATCCTGAGGCACTGGCAACAACCCGAGCTTGACCTTCATCCTATTCATCATCATGTTCCCTTCGGTGCTGTTTTTCCTTTCTACGCTTCACTGCCGCCACCTGATAACACTCATCTGAACTCTCCTCCTCTGAAGATTCCTTGGGAGGGGCGGAAGGTTCAGCAGGCTTCGACGCCACCTCCCTGATCACATTCTGCAACATTCCAACCAATTCTGACACAGACATCCTGTCGTCCTTTTCAGGACAATGTCTGAACTGACAATGGACCTTCAGTCCCATTTGGCTGCATTTCTCCATCAATGCATTAGTGGGCAATCCATCAATCTCCTCAAACGGCACTCCCGCTTGTCGCAGTGCCCTCCACAGATCTGTTCTAGAGGGGCCCATTGCCCCCCCTTTATGACCCCTTGAATGTGGATCAATCCTGGGTTTATTTTCAGTTCTAGCTCCCTCTCTCCTCGTCTCAGACCAATCACCCAGCGTGGTGAGTTCGCCAAGACGATCTTTTATCGCGGCAAAAGTCTGGTCTGCCGCGCCAAACAACAAGCTGGTCACCATGGGTTTATAATGTGGTGGGGCATGTCTGATGAGGTGATCTCTAGTTGCCTTAGAGATGTTACAGTCCACCACTCCAGCTCCCCCGTTTCGAGCCACTTGCTCTCTAATAGTGAGTCTGGTGAGCCGCTGAATGGCATCTCTCACTGTCTGCCATTGCCCTTTAATCTCAGACCAGTCCGCCGTGGTAGGATAGATTACATGACATGCCAGAGCATATGCATCCCCCACATTGAAATCTTCATCAGCTGGCAATGCCCGGACTGTAGCCCGGTATTCAGCATTTATCTGTGCATCAGTACTTAATCCTGAAAATCTCATGGCATCACGGGCATCTATGGCTATATCACACGCGCCATCCTCCATAAGGCGATTAAGCCAGGAGTCAGTTGGTTCGCCTGGGCGCTGTTTCAGCTTCCCATTCATGTGATTTAACTCATCTTGTGAATAATCCTCTAGCGTTGTTAGCAGCCTAGGGGCGGGTTGTGGCTGCTGTTGTAACATCCTTCTTATATTACCCGCCTCATCGAGTTCCGGCCGTCCCTGATCATCCACCATATCTACCAGTATTGGTGGAATAATTTGCTGTTCTCGCCGACGCCTAGTAATAGGTCTTTGTTCTGACATCTTTATCCCCTGTAATGATGGATACAAGGGCTGAGGTGGTGGGTCAGGTTTAATCGCCCACTCCTCCTCCTCATCATCCCCCCAAAGATCCCCGTTCCATTTCCCCGGGTCCCAATCTTCACCAACATTCTTTACAAACGCCCGGATCTGAGCAGGACCTGTTCTACGAGGTCGCTTCTTTTCCTTCCTTTGCGCTCGAGACACAAAAGTCAGCGTTTTATCCAAAACATTCTGAGCATGCTTTAGCTCTTTCCCCATCACACACACTCTCTGCTCAAACTCTGAGCATGATTTTTCAACTTCTTCAGCATGGATTTTCTCCTGCGCCGCTCGCTCTCTACAACTGCTCAATTCTAACTCCTGTTTTTTCCATGCTTCTGCAAAAAGCCACATCATATCTCTCACTCCTGCCAGCGGCGCTTTTTCTTTAACTTCTATCCGCGTCAAACGGTCCAGCACCACGGCGGGGCTGACCACTCCATTTAACTCTCCCCACGGCCCAGGGCGTCCACCGCGCTGCCTTAACATATCACCAATGGTTCGGAACTCCTCCGTTTCCCAGCCGGGAATCGGCACGGGAATCGGCGTTCCCTCCCCAGAAGCACTCGGCTCCTTTTTGCTTCTCCAAAAACACTTCATTGTTGCTGGAATAGCTTGACTGATCCTGTTCGTGACGCCAAAAATGTTCTAAAATAAAATGTTTTATTTTATTTTAATTACCTTAAAAGACTCAAAGTCTCTTTTTACACTTTATATTTATTTAATCAGGATCGTTGTCAAGTCGACGCCAGAAACAATGAAACACAACTTGAATATCAGATGAACAACAAGGCTTTATTCAACCGGCATTCATACAAGTTATCAATCATGGACAAAACATTTCTCTTACCGTTGCTTATGGGTGGAGAGCTGAACACCCCAGTTAGAAAACGTAATCCATGATAGGTGAAGAACTGAACACATGTAATCCATGAACCTCGTCAGGTAGAATCCTTCAAGCAGCTCTAACCCCCCTGAGCCCTGCTCTGCTCCTTATACATTCCTTGATGTGCGTGCAAAGCTGCACACCTCTACCATGATTACCTTGATTACATCCTCATGATCACATTATGTTCGGCTCTACCATGATTACCCTTGATTACATCCTCATGATAAGTGTGATTGACAAACAGTAGTGATCAATAACTTATATAAAGCAATTATACAACAGATGACAAGTTCATTTTTATTACACTGACGCTCACCATTTCCAAAGTGAAGTATAGCGTTAGCCTAGTTAGCTTTTGCGGATGCTTTTGTTAAGACAGCAAAAGGCAAAATAAACTGTTCTAAAATAATAAATATTGAAACGTTTTTTTCTTTTGTTTGTTTATAATGATGAAGAATTAAGGAGCATGCAAAGCACATAATTATCTTCCTTTTTCTTACATTCAGACTTACCAGAGGGACCAATCTTATGTGACACACTAAAATTTTCTCTGCCCCCCCCCCCCCCCCCCCATCAAAATGTTCTGGGCGCACCACTGTTCCTCAGATAGCCTTTAAATCCTTCCAGTTTCCTCTCACACCTCGTGCGCTTCTCCTGACTTTATTTGAAACATGTTATAAACGTCACACCTGCCTAATAATCACTGTGTCCCTAAAGAAAATAAATCCATTCATGACCATAAGCTAAGTGGTATCTGCTCTTTTCCCACATATTAATACATTTAAAGTACTTTCATCTGTCTAGAATCTGTAAAGCCATCAACATTCAAACATTCCCAGTAGACAGGCGTTCATTTATCTTTGGCAGCAGTCCGATTGGCCGTCCAGGATTCTGGGAATGACTTTTGCATGTGGTTGCAGTTCTGGTGAAGTGTCTGCAGAAACATGGCTCCTCTTCCTCATCGGCCTGCCGTTCCATCAGTAGAGAGGGATTAGCCAGGTTTTTATATTTCTCAAGAAAGTCATCTTGTGGGTTTTTAAGTATTTAAGCAGCAAGTTGGAGGGGATGAGAGTAATCTTGGGGAGACACTCACTCAATCCTCAGAGGAGATGCGTCTCCCCTCATTTAGGGTGCACCAGTGGAGCTGACTGATAGCAGCTCAGACCAGAGGCAGCCGCAGAAACATGGATTTGAATTTTTTAATGGAAGATGTAAACGGATTAACCCTGAAAACAGACTGAATGTTGGTTTGTTTCAGTGCTTCTGCTCTCAGATCTGGCAGATAGAGTGGTGGGATTAGGAAGAGGGAATGGTTATTAAATATGAATTAGCCTGGCTGACACCTCATTTTAAAATGTTCAATTTTCACACCAGTTTTGTTCTGAGATGTAATATTAATGAATTTTGTGGCAATGGAGGGAAAAATGAAGGTATAATTAAGACCCTTGATGATTTCAAATTGATTAATAGACCATCACAGGGACGTGCAGCTGTGCTGTTCATGTGATTTTACATTTTTGTCCCATCTGAGCAACATGGAGTCAATTCAGCCAAAAAACTGACCCAGTTTCAGTGTTCTTATACTTATTACTTTATTTAAAATTCATTTATTATTTTTGCAGAAACATTAAGAAAATTCCTTAAGATGCACCAGAATTGCTACTTTTTACTGCTGGTGATGAAATTACCACATGTAAATCATTACAGAATCACATGAAAGTATCTGAATAAAGACTAGTCAGCAGTCTTTAGCTCAGCGGCTCCGTTTTTCTCAGTAGTTAGTTTGTGGATAAAAGCACTGCTGCTGGTGAGCAGGTGACTCGCTCTCATGTCAGCGTCTTAATGTGTTGGGTGTAGCAGAAGGTCACGTGTGTGTGTGTGTGTGTGTGTGTGTGTGTGTGTGTGTGTGTGTGTGTGTGTGTGTGTTTGGATCAAGTCAGTCTAATGGAGTCATCATTTTCATTCACCTGACATGGGAACTCAGCTTCTCAAAATCAGCCGACAGCAACTCTGCTTCTCACTCTTTGTGTGTGTAGAATTCTCATTGAATTCTACACACACACACACACACACACACACACACACACACACACACACACACACACGTGCGTGCACAAAGATCTTCTCCCCATGTGTACGTCCACACACAGCATCTCACCTCCGCACAAGTTCTCCACTCCATGTTTGTCCCAATCGGCGTCCCGTCCGTGGTTACGTTTGGGCATAGGAACGCATCGGCAAGCCCACGTTGGCGTTGAGAAGCGTACATCTCGGGCACGCTCACGCTACTTTTGCCATCAGCCATTGCTCCAGCGTGGCCGGATTTGCGTGCTCCCCTTGTCTGTTCGGTAGGTGTGGTTGCCATGGAGATTTGCAGTGCTGCTGCTATTGATGATGGGAGCTCTCGTTCTGCAATGCTCACACACACACACACACACACACACACACACACACACACACACACACACACACACACACACACACAGGGGGCTAAAAATAGAGCACCGGCGTGAGCTCCCTCCCTGTTTGAATATTGATCTTTATCTGATGATGCCTCGAAGGAGAAGTGAGAGAGCCGGACACGCAAGTGATTCATTGTTTTAGCTTAAATTATGGCGGGATGTTACTGAAAGACACAAAGCTCATTCTTGTCTTTATTATTATTACATATACATGTAATAATAATAATTTACTGGGTCAGTTTTTGATTTTTCAGTTAAGAATTTCAGTGGTTGCACAACATTTAAGCGTTAAAGGCTCAATTTTGTGTTAAAAGATGTAAAGTTCTGATCAAAATGTCCAAAACCTGGAAGATCTTCAGCTGTACAGACTGATTTAATCCCATAAAATCAGAGCATTAGCTTATTAAATCGGCCATATGTGCAGATTTCTGATGGATTTATTTATTATGACCAAGAATGGTCTTTATGCCTCTAATAACTGTTTCTCTTCTTGTTTTACGAACAGAATTCATTCATCTGAATGCAGTTTTCATTGTTCTGAAGAGCACAATTTAAAAAGCAGTTTGATTAAATAAAAACAGTGGCGTTGTTGTTTAGATCTCCATCTTAAATGTTTTTCCTCTGCTGGAAATCGCTCATGCCGACCATGTGCGGTGTGAGACGCTCCCAATCACCAGGATGTGTCTAATTGCATTCACCAAGGTGTGAAAGCGCTCTGCAAAGCTTTAATTACACCTATCTTGCCCGCTCATTATGCTTGACAGCTGAAACCTTTAAACGTGTGGTGAAGAGAAGACGGGCGACTGAAAGGGTGGGACGGAGAGTTTGGGAATAGGGAGTGGGAGGTCTGAGTGGGAATTCTTTTGTCATCAGCAGCAGGGATTTTTGAATTGATGGTCTCCTCGGCCCCTCCTGCCATCCCTTGTGTGTGTGTGTGTGTGTGTGTGTGTGCGCGTGCATGCGTGTTCGTTTGTGTGTGTGTGTGTGTGTGTTTAATATGTGAGTAATGAGGCTGAGTTTAAGGAGCTGCAGCAGGTTAATGAAGTGCTGCATTAGGAGCTGTTGGGTAAATTGCTGTCAGGTGTTCTCTCAGGTAAAACAAGTAGACCAGCGAGACGCTAAAGAGAACCCATTGTTGTTCAGCTGTTAGAACTATGGTAATGCAGGGAGCTTAGCTCAATAATGTGTGTGATGTTTTAAAATATAACAACCCTAATAAAATAAAGGTTTTTCAACATGGTTTGGGTTTTTTTTTTTTTTTTTTGGTGACAATAAATTTAATAGATTCCCTCATTTATTTATGTATTTATCGTCTTATCAGACAGGAAAAATCATCTGTAGTTTTTGCCTCATTGAGCCAAACGTTCTCTTCCTTCAGGGTGAACTTTAAAGAGCCGGAGGCGGTGAGGGCGCTGACCTGCACCCTGTTGAAGGAGGACTTTGGATTGACGATCGAGATCCCTCTGGAGCGCCTCATACCCACAGTCCCCCTCCGTCTGAACTACATCCACTGGGTGGAGGACCTGATCGACGGCCAGAAGCAGCCGCGCAGAGGCATCGACATCGGTATCTAAATACTGGTGTTTTACCTCCCGACCAAAGGACAACTCTACCTGCTAAAAGTGAAACCACCGTGGAAGTGGCAAAACTTCCAGTTCCCCCCTCTTCCAGTAGGGGCTGGCTCCAGAAGGGAGTCAGTTCCCATTGACTCCCATCTGAAAAATCCAACTTCACAGCGGAAATGATCATGTTTACAGCCTGGTTCAGAAAACCTTTTAGGTTTAGTAGATCTAATTAATCGTCATCACAGCTCTGAGGGCGTGACTTTATTTTTTTTAACGACGTAATTAACTCCTTCACTGCCATTGACGACTCATTCTAAATCCAACTGCTTGTATTTATTCAGCTTCCCTTGTTAAACATTTGTGTTTTAGACATAAGCTCTGTCATCCCAGTGTTCCCAGTGCCAATTCCCAGCCCACCTGTCACTGCTGGTGTCTTCTCTGTCAGAGAAACAAAAATGCTTTGTGACGTCCCCGTGTGTGTGTGTATGTGTGTGTGTGATCTGTAGGACTCTGGGTCACCCATAAGTGACCCAAAAGCTGTTTTAAAGCAGGATGACGCAGCCTTGTCCCTGCTGGATCACCTCTGCCGATCCCTTTAGTGACGTATCTTGCTTCTGCCTGAGCCTGGACTGAATAATGGCGCCTGTTAGATCTGAATGATTGAATTATCTCTGACATTTATTGGCTCTTTAGCCAGGAGAACATCACATCCTGTTTATTTTATATTAAACACTGCTGCACATCTCTGCTTCATTCACCTGTCAGATATCAGAGACGTGCACGTGTTTCCTGTGTCCTCAGGTACCGGAGCATCGTGCATCTATCCTTTACTGGGGGCCACCATGAACGGCTGGTACTTCTTGGCCACAGAGGTGGACGACATCTGCTTTGACTATGCTAAGAAGAACGTGGATCAGAACAACATGTCCGACCTGATTAAAGGTGAGTTTGCATTAGAAGACCAAATCTTGTCTCGTGCAACAAAGCTGATCCACCCCTTCACTGTTGGAAAAGTCATTTATATACATATATTCAGTTTGAAGCATTTTCTCCATGATGTTTAGATCTATCTACTGGAGCATCACTCCACTTGGAATGTAGTTTTCATCAAAAATAATCACCTGTTAGCTGTTTTGTGTCTTGTTATCCAATGAAACACACAACCACTTATAGTTTTCTGTGTGCCAGTAGAGACTGGTCCACTAAAGTGACTGAGTCCTGGTTTATAACCAGATTAAAAGCAACACTAAATAAGTTTTCTGCTTCTCTCCCTCCTACTGGTTAAACTGGCATTACAACAGTTGGAAACATCCCCGCCACAGCCTGCTGTAGCTAATGCTAATAACGAGCTAACGCTAACACGAGCGGACACGAAATCAGCCATAAAATAAAAAGATCTAGACTGTAGGGAAAAATAAATGTTACTTACAAGTCCAGTAGCAACAAAGCCAGGTCACCACCAGTCTGTGATTTTGTAGCCACCTTTAGCTCCCTCAAGCAATGTTCACTCTGGTTTTAACTCTTTGCTTCACCTACAAAGACATTACTCTCTTTCTTATTCTTTTGCTTTCTATTGATGGTCCGCAAACTGAAAAGGGTACCTGCTAGCCTTTACATTGGCTACCAGCACTGTAAACAGCTATTGCTGTGAAGCAGTTGGAGACCTCCCTTTAGTGTTCTTACCTGAACCACAGAACAGTTGAGTGTAGTTTCTGGTCAGCAGAGGGGTACAGAGTGCTGTCTAATGGGAAGGTGGTCACATTTCTGCCTCAAGAATCACTGGAACCAGTTTGAAAGCAATAGCTTTAACACCAGTAATAGAATTGAGAAGAATAAAGTAGGACTTTACTGTACAAACCAGCTTACAAACCTCACCTCTTTGTTTTTGCTTATTTTTAGTTGTCAAAGTCCCACAAAAGACGTTACTGATGGACGCCTTGAAGGAAGAGACAGAAATAGTGTACGACTTCTGCATGTGCAACCCTCCTTTTTTTGCCAACCAGCTAGAAGCCAAGGTAAACTCTTGGCTCCACTCTGAAGGTTTCAGCTTTGCGTGGAGGGTCTTTAAGCAAATTCACCTCTGACATGAAACACTGTTTGTTTACATGATGCTAATAGGTCTCTTAATAGGATTTGGTCCTAATCTCTGTCTGTCTTGTTGCTCTCTTCAGGGGGTGAACTCCAGGAACTCATGGCGACCTCCTCCCAGCTCGGTGAACACGGGCGGGGTGACGGAGATCATGGCGGAGGGAGGCGAGCTGGAGTTTGTTAAGAGAATCATTCATGACAGCCTGCAGCTCAAGAAACGTCTCAGGTGAGGAGAAATAAAAACAACCTCTTTTGATCAGACCTACACATTGTGCTGCTGTTGTGATGGAGTCAGAGGTTTGGAGAGGTGTGAACAGTCGCTGGGTTTAGGAGGTGAAGTGGGCAGATGGATGGCTGCATGCTGATGGAGTTGTCTCACCCTCAGTTGTTGTAATGATCCTGGCACACACACCCTGCGCTGCATCCGGGAATCCACAGGGAGCAGCTGTGTTTGCGTTGATGGGTGAGGAGTGTCACTTCACCCCACCCCCACCCCCGTTAGCTGGGCTGTCACCGGGGCAGCCGACTGAGACCCGGGCAGTGTGGAGCAATTAAAACTGATCAGACATGTCACACCTGCTCTGCCTCTTTCAGCGTGTGTTGCGTGGATGTTAACACCTGCCTGCTCTGATGTGTCTCTGCGTCACACCCGCGCAGCGAGGAGACTGCTGGAGTGAATCCAGATTTATTTAACAACCCCAACGCTCCAGACAAACCAACCAGAGCCGACTGTCACTCCCCCAAAGCATGCTGGGACACCAGAGCTACCAGGTGTCCATGGAAACTGTGCCAGCCGTTAACATTTGGTCCATGAGACACCCCCACCACCCTGATCTCCTCCTCCTTTCACCAAAAGGCTAATTACTGTCAAACAGGAGCTCAGAGCTGCATTTGAAGCTGATGCAATGCTCCTAATTCATAGTTATTGATATGAAAAAGTTCTTTTTTTTAATCAAGACTTTAATTACATGCCTGTGCTTTAGAAGTCATGAGAGGAGCGACTAAATGCTGCTGCAGCTGCTCTCTTTGATTCCTCAGAGCAGATTCTGGGTGTTCCTCTTTCCTGCTGTGAGGAAAGTGGCCAACATCTGTGAATATTACAGATGATCAATCTTTTATTATGTCAGCTGATGCTTGCAACACACACACACACACACACACAAACACACACACACACACACACACCTTTGGGTCATTCTTACATCTTATCTATGTTTTTTTCCCCTTCATTTGACAAATTTATAGTTGCTTCATTAAAATAAATATTTATTTTACACAAAAAAAGTATCAGACAGATCTCCTGATTATTGGCTTGGACTGATTAATGTAGCGTGGTTACAACATACTAGAATTAATGCTGTTTGCTATCAGCTTTGTTAGATTCTGAAGAAGATCAAACAAGTTAGCAAATGAAGCTTCTATCATATATAAATATCTAGGATATTAATATAATCGATAGAAGTTCATACGCCAACGGGCTCGGTCTATATTTAATCCAAATATTAATTTAAGATATTTAAATTAATAGCAAAAGTTTATTTATTAAACAAAAGACTTAATGGAATCTTTGCTTATTCAATAACCAAATATACACTATTTCTGTATTTCATTTCAAAGAAGAGTCAGGTTTAAAAAGTTAAGAATTTATCACTAGCAATTTAAAGGTGACAATTTAAAGGTGACAATTTGAAATGATAATTTGTAACAGCTTGATATTAAAACTTGTTATTAAAAGCTTTACCTGTGTCTGAATGAAAAGCTAAAATAAAATGTGAGGTTTGGATGCCTGGATGATATGTCAGAAGATTTCTTTCAGAGAGAGAAACGCGTTCTGGGTGAAAAATATTGTTTTGCAGCTAACTTATGGTTTCTTAGAGAGAACAGCATTAGACGCCATCTGTCGGGAAGTGCCTACCTCACCCAGTTCAGGAGACCCTCTGTGGATCCGAGATGTCAGGTGGAGATGGTTTACTCCGAGCACGAGGTTGGTAGAAGGACCTTAGTGCGACTCAAATCGGTCCTGAGATGTCTCCGGGTCACGACGACTGATGAAACTATTTGCGTCTCAAAATCAATAACTCAGAAGGAGTTTAACGTCAGCTGGCTACAGGTGCGTTTATTTGGAGCAATTCTATCGGCATGACCGAACGCTTAGTGAGGATTCAGGCGGCCGTCCCTCGTCCTCTGGTTGGTTCAAGAACTGAACTTGAGCTGTGGCGATTTGGTTTTAACAAAACCTCAGAACACGCCCTCTCAGCGTCACAAAGCTATTTGTTATGGAGCAAAGACATGTGAGAGCAAGTTAACTTTTATGTTTATGTTTATTTATTTGGCAGACGCTTTTATCCAAAGCGACTTACAATTTCTAACCTAACCTTCGTGCTGCGAGGCAACAGTGCTAACCACTGCGCCACCATGCAGCCCTGGATTCAGTCCTGCATGAGGTGTACACGTGTGAATGACCTTCTGGTCACTGATCACACATTACTGATTATCATGAATAATAATTATTATTAACCCAAAGAATAATAAGTCATTTCAGTAATTAAATACATTTATACTGAACCATGATGATTATTTATGATGATTATTATATGATTGTAATAAACAGTAAAAACAGTTTATTAAAATTATTATTTTAAAATCTTGGTGTCCTTCATCTTGGGACGGAACAGCAGACAGATAAAAGATGATGTGTAGCAGACTTCCCGGCTCCTGATGGATAATCTGTGGAACAAAAGTTCCAGCTTGACCCAGCTGGGAAATTGTGACCTTTGGGTTACAAATATGAGGCCATTCATGTCGCTACATTAATCCGTCTCCCTCTAATATCCAGTCCCGGTCCCTGAAGATCCCCGTCCTGCATGTTCTAGATGTTGATCTGCTCCTGGTTGATCAGCAGGCCTCAGCTGAGGAGGTCATTTACTGATGTCGGAGCATGTGAATCCACTAAAATGTGCAGGACAAAAACAAAAAGATAAAAAAGAAAAAACAAAGGTGCACCCACAAACTGAAAGAAGCATTGTTTTGTTTGGCTTGAGTTCTTGGTCACATTTGCTGGTTTTGAAAGGGTTTTAAAATATTCAGTAACTACTGAGGTATGCTGTTGCTGCAGACGCTGAGAGCATGATGTGATATTTCCTCACTCAAATAACAAAGTAAACAGTAATTGGCTGCTTCTACTGCTCCTGCAGCTGTTTCTTTTTTATTTTTGGGCTCAGCTTTTGTCAGAGCTGCCCTGTGTCCTCATAACATCACAGATGTTTTGTTTGGGCTGTTTGTGTCTCTCCTCTTTAGCTTGGAGGACTCAGCCTAACCCATCTCGCCTCCAGACTCCCTCATGTGTTCATCTTTGCCCCAGCTGGACTCTACCACTCACTGATTAAGACAGACCTCTCTTCTTTATTGCACAGCAGAGATTATTGATCAGGCCTCCACCTCGGGACGACTTCAAACTGCTTTTGTTTTCGCTGCAGGATGTTGCACACCGGATGTTTTCCTCCCTCTTTGTGTTCTGCTCCCTAAAGCGCACCCTTTGATCTGTGCTTTGTAGTCTGGGTCATGGTTGATGTGGGCTTTTCTTTCTGCAGGTGGTACAGTTGCATGTTGGGGAAGAAATGTAGCCTGGCACCTTTGAAAGAGGAGCTGAGGAAGCAAAGGGTGAGTTCTACCGAGCAAAGGAGCAAACGCTGGTTCTGATATCAGCTGGTTTAAATCGGTGCAGGAATTACAAACTGCGGGTTAAAACGCTCCTGTGTGAGCCACAAATAAAACCTGCCTCTGCTCGCCTTCTCCGGAGGTCTGAGGCCGCCGTCGCTGCTCATCAGACTGAGTGCAGAGCTCTGGCCAACGTCCAGGAAGAGGCTGAAGCTGCGATTTAACCCGAGTGTAAAAAGAAATCTTATTTCGTTAATGCACTAAAGCTTTATCGCCCGTTGCTTAATTCTCTCCTCAGCTGATTTCTTTGTTCTTCATCTAAAGGAGCTTCTCCAACAGTATATCAGGTTTAATTTAATTTGAAGATGCCATTTTGAGTCTTTAGTCCTAAAACAAATGGAAGACGATCATCACTGACAGAAACGTTTGTAGTTCTCATTATTATTTATTCTGATGATTTAGTTAATTTGCATCTTTATAACTCGATTATTGTACGTGTTGAGTTTGCTGGTAGGACTTTTTTCATCACATCCAGCTGTGTTGTGTTTCTCTCGCATTCAGGTGCCTAAAGTGACCCACACCGAGTTCTGCCAAGGTCGCACCATGAGATGGGCGCTGGCCTGGAGTTTCTATGACGACGTGATTGTCCCTGTAAGTCACCTCCTTAGCTACGATCGGGTCATCGGTGTCTAATGCAGAGGACACATGTTTGTTTATTTTATTTATCCATTTTCTTTCATCTAATTAGAAGTCAGTTTAATTGAGTAGATTCAGATTGAGTTAACCAATCATGTCTACCCAGAAGAAACAATTTAGTCATTTTATTTTTTAAGCTGTATCGTGAAGGTGAAAGAGCTGTTTTCTCCTTTAAGGGCAGTAAAGAACATATCCAGGCCAAAAACAACTCCCAGGGTTCCTCACAGAAACAACAAACGGTCTCGTCTGAAATTAGAAACAGAAAATGAGTCGTCCTAAAGGTCTTAAAGGGTTTTCGACGGGTTTGGAGCCGAACACGGTCACGTCCTGAGTTTTATGCAGAACTACACTACTTCTGTCCTTTTTCCATCCCAAACCCTGCTCTATTATGTGCTATTTACTCACCTCCTCAGGGGAAATGTTTATGGAATTGCTGCCATGCTGTGGCCAGGCAACGGTTGCCAGGGCACTGACTTGTCTGGACAGGAAGAAAGTCTGAAAGAAACAAGGTTGAGGATGAGAGATGGAGCTGCAGTTAGGTGGAGGAGTCCTCTGCTATGGTCTTTAAAGCAGCTGAGCAGAATGATTGGCCTACATTCCTCCCTCTCCATCCTCCTCCATCTCCACATAGATCCACCATGATTCACGCTAGGGAGCAGATCGCTGTCATCAACACCCCCACTCCAACCAACACGTGTACTGTGTGGAGTAAACGGTCACATGATTGAAGTTTCTGCACATCTGATTCTGTTAACGGTTCACTTCCTAATTCTGTTTGCATGTTTCCGTAGATGTGTGTGTGTGTGTGTGTGTGTGTGTGTGTGTGTGTGTGTGTGTGTGTGTGTGTGTGTGTGTGTGTGTGTGTGTGTTGTTCATGCAGCATATGACAACTGTGACCCACTTAACCACCTTGTTACCACTGCAGCCTCCTAGTTACTATGACCAGTTACACTCGTAAACAGATGAAAACATCTGGAGAGTAAATTCTATCTAGTGAGAGATTCAGATTTCCAAATTTAAAGGTAAAGGAAATAAGCCTCTAAATCCTGCCGTCTGAAGCCCAACTCGGATCTGGCTCACTTCTAGTTTCTGAAACACTGCTAATGAATTAAAAATATGAGTGAAATTGGTCTTTTAAAGACCCTAAATCAGGGGTGTCAAATATGCGGCCCGCAAGCGGGTTAAATCCGGCCCGCGAGATGGTTGTGTAAACTTTATTTTCATACTTTACAATGTAGAGTGAAAATAAACTTATCTTTGTGAGCAAGTTTTCTGTGTAATGAGTATAAATGCAACAAAGCTGCTCTCAAGGCCCACACAAGAACTTGAATCACATCCTGAAGTTGGCTGCCACTCAGGATGTGACTTCTGATATTGATGTGCTGGTGAAAGCTAAAAGATGTAAAGTAAAGTGAGTCAAATATACTTTTAAGTGCTGCATGAAACTGATCTAGCCATGTGATCTGTAAGCTCTTTGAATCACTAAGGAATGTTTATTTATTTATTTTCCAAATTTTCAAGTACACTTCAGGTGTTGTACTTGTACTACACTGTCCTCAGGCTCCAGCCTTGTTTTATATTGATTGTATTAAAACAAAGAAAACAATCTGAAGTTGTTTTTAATTTACCGGTCCCGCCCACTTGGGACTAGATTTCCCTCAGTGTGGCCCCTGAGCTAAAATGAGTTTGACACCCCTGCCCTAAAACAGAACCTTGTGGGACTCCTCATGTTAAAGGTGTTGCAGACTGATTATTATTGTTTACGTTTATGCTGGAATATTAATTTTCACACCCATTGATGTTGTGTTTAGTAGCTTAGATCCTCTTCCTCAGTGGTGTCTTGGAGAAATGGTGGAACAATGGTCCTTTTTTTGTTGCAGCTGACTTCAGCCTGTACATTTGGCTGTTTTAGAGCAAACAACTGAAATATTTTCTGCTGTGATTGCTGCAGTTTGTTTGGAGCTTAGGAGAAGAAGATGGAGACAAACTGTACTGTGTCTAAATCTACTGAATACAGATAAAAGACACGGATGAACACACAGCCTGGAGGCTCACTGTTGCTCATACACACCTCTGGCTGGAGATCAAATCAGGAAAGCCTGTCCAGAGGTTTGGGACTAGGGGTAGGGGTAGGGATAGGAGGGGGGGAAGGGGGTTGGAAAGAATCAGACTGTGGTTTGTGATGTTTGCCTGAAGGTGAAATCTGAAAATCAAGACTTTTATGTTTTCAAAGTGTCAACATTTTGAAAAAATGGGTCACATGTTGTCCCTCTCTCACCACAGGAGAGCTTGCAGCGAGGTGGGAATGGGTAAGAAGGATGAATGATAGAGTGAAGAGCAGCAGAGTGGTACGAGGACGGGATGTAGGGCTGCACACCTGAGTTTCCTGCTTGTTGATTTGAAGTCTTTGTGTGTTTGTGTGTCTTTGTATCAGGTAAAGAATTTGTGTCAAGGATGTTGGGTGCAGGTTCAGCCTGATGGATGTTATTGATTTATTTTCCTCGTGCAAAGAGCTGCAGGGCTCATAGTGTCGATGGAACCGGGAGAGACGTCTGAGACGGACAAGAGATAAATAAGATCCAACCCGCAGCCAGATCACATGCATTTACAGAATGTATTTATTTAGCATTTTTATGGAGATGTCCAGTTATTTATGAGCGTTGTAAAAAAAACAGTAACAGAAACTTAAAATCAGTGCAGCAGAGTGAAGGTTGCGGTCTGCTCCTCCTCTCTGCTGTTTATAGGTCAGTCGGCCATTCTGTCGCTCCTCTTGTGCTCCTGTAAACCCCTCCTGCTGCCCCCCAACCTACACACACAGCCTGACTGCAGTGTTGGTGCAGTTTCCATTCAGACACGGCCGGATAACGACCTCCACCATCATCTCTTTAGAGGCAATGAGACAGAAGAAGCTGGGAAACGAGCATCCATCCAGGATAAAAATGTTTACTGATTCGGGAGTCATTCTTAAATTTAAAATTAGCCTTCAATTAAAAAGGGCAATAGAATAAAACAACAAAGGTTAAATATCAGATTTTTGTTTTAGGCTGTTGTTTAGTCACTCAGCTGGTTTCATGGACCTCTCCTTCTTCCTAGGTTGCAGAACAATAAATGTAGCTTGGGAAATGTGTCTTTGGATCATCATTAAAGCATCTTTGTTGTCAGAAGTGTCTAACATGAAGGTGTGAGATAACTCGTGCTGGGAACACACTGCCCCCTGCTGGCAGCACTGTTGTTTTGCTGTTAGACTTCAGATAGTTTCCCGTCTCTTAACCGATGCCAGACCAGAAGATCTACCACAAAACCTAACAATCAGATTGGTGTTTAGTTACCTACTTCAACCATTTGGGGGGAAATTCAGAACTTAAAAAAAAAATCAGCATTTCCCTCTGGTGCTGGTTTTGGACATAAAAATGTCCTGTGCAGATTGGTCACCTCATCCTGAATGTTTTGTCCCAGTCTCCTCCCAGTAAGAAGCGTAAACTGGAGAAGACTCAGAAGCCGCTGTCCTTCACGCTTCCTCGGGAAGGACTAAAGGAGCTCCAGGTCAAGGCCTCGGCAGCAGGCTGCACCGGCAGCAGCTCTGTGGACAGCGTCACTACTCTGCTGGAGAAAACTCTCACGGAGCTCAGGGTAAGCTCGACGTGAAGAAACTGATATAGTTTGTCTTAGTGATCCTTTTCTGCATTTGTCTTTTTCATTTATTTGAACTGCATCTTTAAGGTAGCAATCATCTCCTAAGACTTGGCTGGTTTGGGTCTAATGGTTCTCTGTGGTGCTCCATAGGTGCTGCATAAACGTGTGCCTTGCACAGCCCAGCAGCAAAGTCTCTTTCTGACAGCTGTGGAGAACACCTGGATCCACGGGCGACAGAAGAGACGTGAACAGAACCGTCAGCTGCGAGAGCTTCCCAGAGCTCCTCCCTGTGCTGGAACCAGCTGTCAAACCAGTGTGACCACGGCTGCGTCAGAAACAGCCCTTTCCTCCCAAAGACAGCCCGTCTCCACAGCAAACAGCAGCAGCCAAGACGAGTCTGCCAAGTGTCCAGTGTCATTAAATGAGTCGAGCAAAGAAAGAAAAAACGTAACAGAGGATGTATCAGAACGTGCAGCAGGTGAGGATGTGGACATGGACTCCTCCAGCTGCACAGAAACGGTGCAGGAAAGGGACCTGAAGGAAAACCCTGCTGCTCCCTCACAGCCCCGGATCCAAGGCCCTCTGGAACACTTTCTGTTCAAGTGTCTGCTGAATGTGATTGCAGAGGAAGGAGGTGTAAGTGTAGAGATGCACTGGGTCGAGGGTCACAACAAGGACCTGATGAACCAGCTGCGCACTTACCTGAGGAATTCCCTTCTGAAATCAGTGGCAAGTGTTCAGTAAATGAGATATATTTTAAAATGGTTTGCGCAGACAAACACAAGTATTGATTTTTAGAACGGATTTTGAAAAGTCTTGTTTGTTTTATTTACTTGAAAACTGCAAGTTTATACTAGTATCAGTATCACATTTCCTGCTTTGTTTACATTTAAGGGTGATTTATACTATGTTCTCAAAATTCTGTAAACATTTTGAATAAATGTTCTATATTATTGCATTTTTTCTTTATTTTAATATTAATGAGAATTAAGAATAATTATCGTTTAATGTCAAAATAAGTATTAATAATTGTTACATTTATTTCATTGATGCAGAACCTTTGTATGGCCATAAGAGGGGGTAGATGTATGTAGGATGGGTCATCATTAAAATCAGGTTTTTGTCTAACCTCGTTTATTAGATGAAATATTTTTAAAATTAAATACACAAGTCTAAATGATTTACATTTATCATACCTTTTGTAGTTGAAGAATTTGCTTCTGTATCATCAAAATCAGTTACAGCTGCAGGGTGCAGTTGTTCAGTTTCTCAGGGAGACGTGCCTCATCTCCACCTTAGTGCCTCCTCCAAGCCCCTAGGACCATTTGGCTCAAAGCAAGTTTAGTACACATATGACCTTGTTTGTAAAAGTTATCACAGAAGTCCACATGTACCAACTATTAGCATACAAAAAAACTAATCTTAACAAGAGTCATGGTTACAGAACTGATCAGAATATGGTTTATTAATTATACCCATGCAGGGAGAGACTGATTACAATCTGTACGTCTGCTCTGACGTCACAGACCACATTTCTGCTCATTTAGGGACAACAATGTTGTGCCCTCATCTTAGATAAACATACAGTGCTGAACAAAAATGAGTACACTCCACTAAATTCATCAGAAAACATTTAGTTTCCTTTCAGAATCAAAATTTTCTATTGGATACCATACTACAAAATATTCCCACAAACGTGGGCCATTGATTGCAAACAAGATTTGTTCATTTGCACACAAAAGGTGATTTTTCTAACAAATCTGTTCAAGCCCATGTTGCAAAAATGAGTACACCCCAGTTTTACTCTTAGGAGAAAAGCCACACTTAAGAAAAAAAACTCAACCACAGGTGAGTAAAGATTAATTTAAGAGGTGTCCAGCAGACAGGTGACTATAAAATTATTTACAAATTAAAGCCCTTCCAATTTCATGCTGTCAGCAATGGCTCCACATGGAAGAGAAATGCAACAACATCTGAGAAAGGAAATAATTTCTTTACACAAAAAAGGCGAGGGCTACAAGATCAGCAAAGCTTTACATTACGGTCTAAATACTGGAGCAAAAGTGACCCAGAAATTTAAAAAAGATGGAAGTGCAACCATCTTACAGAGACGTCCAGACCATCCACATAAGTTAACAAGTAGACTAGAGCATCTTCTGATGAGAAGGGTTGAAAATCACCATGCAAGGTCACTACAGCTAGCTAAAGTAGTAGAAAGCTAAACTGGAGTGACCGTTTCCGGTGACATCATACAGCACACACTGGCGTTCATGGGTATCGTCCAAGAAGGAAGCCTCTCCGAAAGCCCATGCACAAAAAAAGCACACCTAGGATTAGCTAGGGCCCATGCTGAAAGAGAAGAAGACTACTGAGACTTTATACTCTGGAGTGATGAGACAAAGATCATTGTTTTTGGAACTAATGGTTTTAAAACTGTACAGCGTCGTAAAGGTGAGGACTTCAAAGAGAAATGCATGGTGCCTACAGTAAAACATGGTGGTGGCAGTGTCATTATGTGGGACTGCATGAGTGCTGCTGGTGTTGGGAAGCTTTCATGATACCATCATTTCATTGATGGTATCATGAACTCAACAACGTACTGCTCTATACTGATGAAGATGCTGCCATCACTCCGTGCACTTGGTCGACTTGCATTTTTCAAGACAACAATGATCCAAAACACACATCTAAAGCTACTGTTACATTTCTGAAGATGAACAGTGTGAAGGTGATTGAAAGGCCAAGTCTCCTGATCTGAACCCAAATACCTGCGGGGAATTCTGAAGCAGCACGTTGAGCATCACTCTCCATCCAGCATCCAGGCTCTAAAAGAAGTTATTCTTGAAGAATGGAAAAAGATAGATGTCACAATATGTCACCAACTTGTTAATTCCACACCTAGAAGACTTGTTGCTGTCTTTGAAAATCACAGTGGTCATACCAATACTAGATGTCGTAGTTTTTGTTGTGGGGTGTATTCATTTTAACTTCAACCAATTTTAGTAAAACTGAAGATTTAGTGATCGGAGTTATATTATTAACCTCAGTAAACAAGTGACGCACAAGCTGGATGCACCTGGAGCAGAGCCTCTGGACACATGGATGCAGCAGAATAAAAGAAATAAAATAACTCACAAATCCCATAAAAGGCAGCATCAGGTGTGCCAAGTCCCATGCACTGTCACAAAAAGAAGAAGAAACTTCGACACAACCACATGACCTGCAGAAGAAAAAACAGGATGTAAACAAATAATCTAAAATGAAAGAATAAACAAACAAAAGGACAATAACAGTTTAAAAAACATTGAGATACACAAGAAAGACACAAACATCACACAACACAGAACACCCACACAAATCAACACTTTATCATATAATCCAACTCCAAATCCTGCAGCACCAACAGTCCAGAGGGATGGGTAGATCCATGCCTGCATAAAAACATCAAACCTAACCTGGAATGAGAGGTTGATCTGGAGGTCATAAGATGTGTTTGCATACTAAAAATCAAGAATTCTGGATGTTTGTTTATTATTCTGACAGGTGGCAGGTTCAGGCCTGGTATAATTTGTCCCCCCGTAACTCTATTGAAAGCTAGCATAAAAGCCATTATCTTTAGAGAGAGGTACATGGCTCGCATTTTTAAAATCTGCTTATTGAGTGAAAGAAAATCTCTTTAAATCTAGATTCATCAGAGTTCTGAATAAGTCTGGGCCTAACTTTATTGAGTTGCTATTTCATTACAATCATATTACCCTGTGGTCAGCAGCTGTTTTCAGGAATATGTTTCTCTCCAGCAGACTAAACTTCATGGTGATTAGCAAAAATCAGAGCTGACGGTGTTTTTATACGACGGTAAAACGTTATTCCACGAATCAAGGCGCAGCTGACTAGAAGCGTGTGAGGAGGTGGAGCCAGGAATACGGTGAGGCACCGTCCCCAGTGAGATCAATGACCTAGGGTGATTTACATGTTATTGCAGCTTGTTCATCAGAAACAGCCCACTACAGTTTAAAACCAGCTATTCCAGTTTGTGCTGACAGAGTTCCTCAGGTGAGAAGCAACAATAGAAACTTTATTTAAACCTACTCAAAGTACTATTGTTTTCTATTTGATTCTATAATACAGACAGCGAGTCACATAACTGGTGTTGTGTTACAAAGATAAGAGGATCAAATGAGCTTTACTACTAAGGAACAGTTTGTCTAGTTTGTTAATCAAGCCAATAAATATAGAGATGGGTTAATAAAGGCAGATAGTCGAGTGAGGTGTGATGACAGTATTAAATATAACGCAGCCTCTCTTCATCTTGTTTGCAGTTGTATCTTTAGAATGTTGTAATGAGAAGGGAAGACGCACACACACACACACACACACACACACACACACACACACACGCATACACACAGACACACACAGTTTTGGGTTCATTTTTTGATAGAGATGTTATTGAAGTTAATCAGCTCCAGAACAAAGACATCATTATCGAAACTATGCAAGCAAATCTTAAAATATTTTATATTGTTGTGTCTAATAACTAAATCAAAAATGTCCTTGAACTTTACCAGGCGAAGATGCAGAGGACAATGGTATTTTATCCAGGAAAGCTGAGTGTGGTTTTCCGTAAGGGGCCCCTTGGATATCTCCTGCAGGCGCCCTCTCCTGAAGCCAAGCGCATCAAGGATGACCCCAGTTTGCAGGACAGGTCTGCGTCCATGAAGGAGGACATGGTACGGAAAATGCTTTGGCCACAGTTCGTAGGAGAGGAGGGGATACCACCGACATTACAGAGCTGCTGGGAGACTACATCCTTCAATTTGGAAAATATAAAGGAAGGTGGCTTTTAGAAAATGATGTGGGATACACTTTGTACCTCATTAAGAACCGCCAGAAGGAGGAGGATTTGGGTCTGTAGCTCAGCTGAGGATCACAGCAAGGTCAGCCTGCAGACATTTGTAAAGTTTGCTCTCAGTTTTGCAGATCAAGTCTGTCCTCGGCTACGAGGCAGGTGTTGTCAAAGCCTCTTGTGAAGATGAGCAGCAGGTTGGCTTTGGCTCCTGGGCCAAAAGCACATGGAAGGAAATCTGGGACAGTAGAGCTGATGGGTATGCTGACTTCATCTTGAAAAAGAGTTGCCTCCCCGGGACACGCATGAAGAAGCTGCAGCAGTACCTGCAGGGGAGACATCAATCTGCCTCAGCTTCTACACCCACTGAACAGGATACAAGCATGCCACCTGAACCTCTGCATAAGAAACTTGATTCATATCTTGTTTCTCATTTTTGAAATGACAGAAACATGTAATGTTTGACATTTATCCTGAACTGATATCATATTTGTCATTCTGTGTGCTGTAATCTTTGTCCACACTACAGTAATGGACGAGGACAAAGAGTTGGAGAGCACCATGTTGAACATCTCACCCTCTGACCTGCTGAGCACGAGCAGTCGGTAACACTGTTAATGCAGTCAGTTTATTCTTGAGTCTTACTTGCAGTTGTGTATCCCATTTCTTGATGTTTGCTTTTTTTGTGTGTGTGTAACCAGTTTCTGTAGCTGCAGCAAAAAGAGAAGAGGATGTGTCAAGAATACTTCCACGAGCAAAACCAGGGTTTTAAATGAGAGGTTTCAGGACTGGAGAGCTATTCTCTTGCATGAAGAATTGCCATTCAAAACTGAGCCGTGTTCTGCCTTTGCTTTTTGTCATGGCCACGTTCTGGCCAGGTTCCTGTTCCACGTGTCTCTTCCTACTGTTGCACTAAAAGTCCTTCAGGACTATGAATTCCTGCTGAGAAGATGTGATTCCAGACACAGTGAGTATGTGTTATTTTTATTTTTTGCATGTCTTGTACACTAAAAACATTGAAGTGGGGGTTTGCACTATAAGTTGAATGCATGCTTGTGCACTGGGTGCTGTTACTCCTCCTGCTTAGGTTGATTAGTGAGAGGTTGT